GAGAATGAGAGAGGACAAGTGTGGGGAAAGGGGAGGGCGGAGGGAGCTGAGCTAGAGAGAGAGAGAGAGAGCGAGCTATAGATAGAGAATAAGGCTGCTGTTTCAAGGATTTACGACACAAGATGGCGCTCTACCCAAAACAATTGGGAGTACAATTATGTTCCTCTTTATCATTTTGTATAATTATGAAAATCTGAGTAAAGGCAAAAAAGCTTCACAAAAAAACAATCTCCATCCCGTCTTTCATCATCACCTTGAAATTCACTATAGTCTTCATCACAATTACCATCATCCAAAACACTGCCCTATAATAAATCTTTATCATCATCTGCATCGCCTCCAGTCATCACTGTTATCACTGCAACAATCTCCATTGCTATGTTTATTGTCCTCATCAATACAACCACCATCATTATCACCATCGTCACTATTGCGACATCATGATCACATCCAACACCATAACATGAAACATCACTTTCATACACCTCTTAAAAATTGTCTCCACACTCACAGCAATCATTACAAATTTAATCAGTTCCAATACAACCACAGCCACCATTACATCAACTGTAAATCCACCATCTTCACATACCACCATCACTATCGTAACCTCAACCATACCAAATGTCATCACTACTTTCAAAAATTTTCTAATCATCTTCTCATTTATCACTTGGTCATTTTCTAAAGAGACAAACATTTTAACACAAATGTGTAGGGCCTCTGAATGGGGCTTTCCTATTTTTTCTGAAAGACTCTACAGGTCATGTACTTGCCCTCATGTGATGATGAATTTGGTTGAGTTGATCAGGAATTTTTTGTTTTCGTATCTCACAGGATACATAAAATTATCACAATTCAAAGGACATAGCAATAATTACTTTCAAAATTTGTTTAAGATTAATATCAAATCCAAGTTTGTTCTTTTCTAGTTTTTCTGAATAATCTTGCTGTTGATTTTGGGATGTAATGTTTGGTTGTACAACACATGCTACAGCGACAATTGCTCCTCAGTAATTTCCTATACAACTGAACTAACCAAACTCCTAACTTTAACCCTGGACCCAATTCAAATACCCAACCCTAACCTTTTAATTTTAACATAATAAAGCCTGGAGCAACTGTCGCAGAAGCAAATGTTGAATCTCCAATGTTTTAATAGTCCTTTCAATAATTGATGTCTCTAAACAAAGCAGATGTTATACTCCAAATAGACGAATATCTGGAAGTAAAGAGAATGAACAGATTGCTATGAACTAAACATGTAATCATTTTGAAGTATTCTACAGAACAAAATAAGCACAGCACCATCAAACGTTCTGCAATTCCAAACCAAACTACTCTTGAAATAAAGAAACCATTGAGACCTCTTGAGTATTACCTATGCCATACAATTTATTTTACAGAAATCATCCTCATTTGCAGTCTACTTGATCTCCTTCACTTGAAGACCTGCAAGAGAAAAGAAAAAGAAACAAAGGAAGAAAAAAATGGTTTAATGAACAAAACAAAAAATATGGGTGTGTTTTTTTACAGTTGAACAAAGTGTTAATCTACCAAAATCAGTGTTACTTCTCCATTTACGTATATACACAAAATTTTCTTTCCTTTTTCAAACCCCCATGAAGAGCACCATTTTATTTTTATTTGTTGTATCATGACTTGTACAATAAATAGCCATTCCTCTTAGTGTTTACTGCATTTAAATTTATTAGGCCATTATTATTTAAGAGTAGGACACAGGCCAAGAGCATGGCAATTAATGGACAAGACAAACATACACAGATATTGATAGGGTTCACCAAACAGTACACCAAACAGACCAGAAGTCGTGAGGAGATGCATTTATTTAGAGTTAACTTTTATGCTCCAAAAATGAACTCGACAACAGATGTCTGAACAAGATATAAGGTTACGAGCTATATAACCAGATCTACCGACTACTGGCTATGACAATAATCATTTGGTCATACATGTATGTGTCCGAGATGGCCACATTAGCATTAACACTTCTCTCCCTGCAGACCCTTAAAATCATTAGTATACCCCAGCTGCCCAGCATTGCCATTGCCAGGTACTTATTCAATACACCTTGGTCAAAAGGGGCGAATGTGGGCAAAACAACTTGTCAAAAGGATACAAGCACTACACACGACTGAACCAGGGACCTCTTGTATGAGAGTCACAGGCCTTCATGTATATCCTACAGGGTTCTAGGACACCTCCTGGACAACCACCCCTCGGATAACCACTGTCTATGACAACTACCCCCCGAACAACTACCCCTAGGACTACCATTCTCTAGGACAACTTCTCCCCGGACAACTATCCTAGGGGGTAGTCATCCTAGAGGGTGGTTTCCCTAGGGGGGTAGTTGTCCCAGAGGGTGGTTATCTGGGGGAGGGGAGGGTGGTTGTCCAGGGGGTAGGTGTCCAAAAAAGATCCTACATTGTTCAAAAGATTCAAGCATCGACTCACCTGGAGGGAGAGATTGCTTGAGCTTCTCAGCCTTCTCTGAGTCCTTCTTGATGACCAGGGTGTAGAGATAGCGACTGCATCGGACCTTGAACTTGGTGTTGTCACGGTTCTTCTTGATCTTCACAGCTGTGGTACATAAAAATAATGGCACAAACATTAATGAATGCAACATTTGTAACTTGTCAAAAACTCAAACTAGTTGAATGTGATTGCATCAAATTTTGTACTTGGTGTTGTCACATATCTTCTTGAACTTCACAGCTATGTGAATCAGAAATCATTTCACAAACATTAACATTGTGACAATGTTAGCTCACTGATGAATAACATAACACTTTATAAGGCCTTTTTTTCACAGATGGCCATAAAAGCAGCCAGGATTAGACATGAGATTTAATTAACCAGACTACCCTTTGCTTATTGTACTTAGTGAATTTCCATTGGACAAAGTTTGTTATTTTCATTTTTTTAATGAATTTTTATCTCAAATGGGAGATCTGTACAATGTTTTCAGCAAATTGGCCCAATAATGTGCAAGCCTGCTGAAAAAAAAGGCCATTAAAAAATAGCAGCAAGAAAGAAGGAGAGAGTGAGTAACTTGTACAAGAGCAGGGGGGGGGGGGAAGGGAAAGAAAAAGTAAAGCAAGTACACATAAGATCAACCATGGCTGTACATGAGCATTTCCTCAAGGTCCAAGGACAATCATATTGAACTGAGGAAAACTACAATAAATCACAGTAAAATACTTTCTAGTACTAGCATGTTTGAGAAAGTGATCATGCTTAAAGGGAGTCACGCGTCGGTTTCCATGTGCAGAAGGCCATAATTCGCTGACACCAGACTTGGTGGGAAAACCATTAACAGGAGTACAAATCTGCACACACAAACCCGCTGGCCAGTCAAGAATTACCCCCTTATCTCTCGGAGAGTCTAGCTTCAGATCGCGCTTCGGATCGGGTGAGGGAAAAGCAAAGCATTACATAAGGTTGACTGGTCATAAAACTCAAGGCTAACCCTGTTGATTGACAACACCTGTTATTGGGTAAATACCCGAACGGTGTTGAATTCCCCATGAGAGCTAACTACCGAGTGTCTTTAAATGAAATAGAAAAGGAAAGATGCGCTGAATTTGACGGTCTAACGTAATTAATTGGTGTACTACAAGAGAGAATAAATGTGGAAAAGCAAATCAAGATGCACTAATACTGACAATATTGTATACCCTTTAACTTCAAGCAACCCAAAAGTTAGAGTAACCAAATATGTCAGCTAGTTTTGAGCCCCCTGGACAAGGAATAGAGAGAGAGAGAGGGGGGGGGGGGAGGGAGAAGGGGATGGAAGGGGGACAGCGGATGGGGGCGGGGAAGCTGGTCGAAATGTGAAAGAACATGAGACACAAGAAGAAAATAAGAATAGCAGAGATAGTTGCTTACACTTAGCATCCTTCCTGCGTGCTGTCAGGAGAAAGTCCTTGATTTCCATAATTTCCTTGGGCTGTCAAAGGAGAAGTACAGAAATATCAATAACTATCATCTATATAAGGCTTCTAAGTGGTACAATAAATCAGTGTATTCAATATCTTTAGCACATTACCCGGATGACTGACCAATATTGTTTTTGTATTGCTCAGTCTTCCGGGAACTTCAACTATTGATATGATCAATATCATATTGATATCATATGAAAACAAAGCCATATTTACTGAGGTAATTTAAATTTTGTTATTTCGCTAGCCAGAATAATATTGATAATAATAATATTGTATGGCTTTGTTTTTGTGTGATACAAGAAGATATTGCTCTCGCTATGACAATCACTATGAACATGACGGACATAGAAAGCGGACAAAATATACAGTTTCTCATTTTACCCTCAACAATTGCTATAATAGACAAAGGAACATCCCTTCACTGCTATTATGTAAAAACGTGTAGAACAGGTGTCCCATGCATATTCACCTGTTCTACACATTTTTACATAATAGCAGTGAAGGGATGTTCCTTCGTCTACCATAGCCATTGTTGAGGGTAGAATGAGGAACTGTATATTTGGTCCGCTTTCTTTGTCCGTCACGTTCATAGTGAATATTAGGCTCGTCTTTGACTTGTCCAATATTGTCATAGCTTGAGCAATATATTCATGTTTCATACTCAAAGCCATCCAAAATTATATAAATATCACAATCATCAAATATACAATAATCTAAAATCATTCTCACTTTCATGGCCTATGATATCCCATGCATTGTACAAAATTCTTTCCTACAATATCCTATGGCACAAATGCCAATTGGAACTAATAAACATAATTGGTCATAAAAGCAGACAAAAAATAATTATCAATGAGTAAATAAAAACAACATCAGATTAGATTCAATTTAAGCTTCAATATTCATTTATCTTTATCTATGGATGAATCAATATCTGTTCCAACTAATATTCTGTAACATTCATAAGGTCTTGAATAATTAAGCATTCAGATTTTGTACACATATTTGCTCCCTGACTTGTAATACATACCATCTTGGCTGTGTTGTGGCTGAGTTGGTACAGCTACAAGATATCTTGGAAACAATCTGTAAAAATAAAAGAAGAGATAAGACATAACAGTACTAATTCTCTAAACAGAGAGCAAAGTTGATTAAATGTCAATGCAACCTGTATAATACATATTCATTTGGAAGCAGAAAATGAGAAAAATGGAATGGCAAAAGTTTAAAGAATATGAGAAAGTTGTGAAACTTTAAAATGTATCATCACAAAACTTACTATATCAATCAAATCTCAAAATGGCAAGGTGGCAAGTGATTTGTGACGTAATCACCTTTTGTTGGATGTTAAAGTATCTTTAATTTCTGATTTTCTCTGAAGCACCTTTCTCCTTAAAAATCATTTTCTATGTGAATTGTGCATAAAACTGGCCATATGTGAATAACTACAGATAGACTCATAATTCCAAAAGTATTTGAGATGTCAAGTCCAATCGAACCTGCATTGTGTTATAAATGTGTTAGGTACCCCACTCTTTAAGTGTACATCGGTATCATGGCTTGCAATATAAAGAGATCAAGACCTCGCATTTCGACTTTGAACACGTTTGCTGACCCATTTCTTATAACCAGACTAAAAGGCCCAACGACTTTCAAATTTTTATGCCGATGTTACGAAGTAGCCTTTTTGGCAGCGCGGAAGGGATTAATAGCCACTTAAGACAAAAAATATTTTCAAGACTTTTTATTCCAGGATTATTTCATTTCGACTCGTAAGTATGGAAGTACACTGTGTAACTGTTTCAAAAATAGACAAATCTGCCTTAATATATCCCATTTCTTGCTGGTGGTTTTCGGCCAAATGTATAGTAAAAACTCGAAACCCTGAAGGCGGTGTTCAAGCTCAAATCCACCTCCACAGATTCCGAAACTTTATAATGAAGCTTTCACATGTGTCTCAAGCACTTTCAATGACTGCAACGTGTGACGAGACACTTGCGATTGGATGCTGCAAGCCCCTGGTCTTTTTTGCACATGAGCTCTATTTCAGTAGGGGCGCTAACTCCGGGAAGCTCCAACACCGGCGCCGCAGGCATCGGAGCTTCGGGTGGTTTCGTTGGTTTCTCGTGGGGGGTAGTAAAACAGCCGATTGGGTGATATTATCGTTAAATCTGCAAAGGGAGTACTTACATGTACAATTTTAACATCATAGGGTGCACGACTCCTCAGGGCTCAACTCCAATCACTTGAATGTATAATTTGAAGAAGTCTTCGATCAGAAAAAAAAGGTTAATTCGGGGTACTACACCAACGATTCTTCCATGTCGCAGCGTTGATTCAAAATAGCGATGAGAAGGTACGCATGTGCGGCAGTGGCGAAGAAAATATGAATATTCATGCTATCGAGCGCCGATCGCTCGAAATCGCTGAATATGCACGACTCGAACAAACAGAGCCCTTCTCAACCTCGTGCATATTCAGCGATTTTGAGCGATCGGTGCTCGATAGCATGAATATTCATATTTTCTTCGCCACTGCCGCGCATGTGTACCTTCTCATCGTTATTTTGAATCAACGCTGCGACATGGAAGGATCGTTGGTGTAGTACCCCGCATTAACCTTTTTTTCCGATCGAAGACTTCTTCAAATTATACATTCAAGTGATTGGAGTTGAGCCCTGAGGAGTCGTGCACCCTATGATGTAAAAATTGTAAGTACTCCCTTTGCAGATTCAACGATAATATCACCCAATCGGTTGTTTTACTAGCCCCCACGAGAAACCAACGAAACCACCCGAAGCTCCGACGCCTGCGGCGCCGGTGTTGGAGCTTCCCGGAGTTATAGGGGAGCCAGTCTGAAAATGAGGATCGTCCGAATAAAACGAGGATATCCTCATAAACGCAGTCAAAGTGCTCCTAAAAAATATGGATCATCCGTGAATGTTTTTTTCCCCGCGCTCTGCAGGTTCCCGATCTGCGCACTGGCAATGCGAAAAAACGAATGCCACAAGTTCACTGTCTAACTATAAGTCAATGTAGATTCTAAAATGCATCAAGAAAAGCATTTCGGAATCCGTTTTTTCACATCGCCAACACGCAGATTGGAAATCAGAATCGTCAGCGAAAATGTGGACGATCCTCATTCTAAAGGACGCAATTTGTCCGCGTTTATGCAGACGATCCTCATTCTCGGACCAGCGCCCTTACTTATTTTTGTTTCTTCAGTCAAGTTTAGACATGGAATTCCCATGATTTGAGTAAAAAGACAAATCAATTCTAGCAATATGGCATGAGTTTATCTAGAGCTAGTTGCAGACCATAACTTTTCCTTTTTCAAAAATTCTAAGCTATTGATAGAGTCTAGATCTATGTGTGTGATGCGAATTGCAAGCAAAGATGAATGAACGTTATGTCGCGTTGATATCAATTTCACCATGTCCAAACACACACACTTGACACTGCGCTCGAAATTTTCAATCGTCGATTGAAATTCGACGTCCAACTTTACCCTTTACATTAGGTCCTTTTCTTTGCCATATAAAAATCAAGAAGGTATACATCCGGTAGCTAAAATTAAAGTGCAATGAACGTGGAAATAGTATTTCTAGTTCTACCAACTCCGTCTTCGACGCTACATTTACCAACGTAGAAGTCAATAGTATGGGCCAGTGTAACTTTTCATTCGAATAGATACAATACAAGGACAATTCATAACATGTCTAACAACGTGAGATGATAATTTAACAGAACGAAAAACAGAGTAGTTACAATATAAATGTATAAATGACGTAGAATGATATTTTGGAGGGTATAAAAGGTTTGGATTATTGTGATTTTATTCGATGTTTTCCATATAACAAGTCGAAAAAATATCTACCTGCTTCGCAAGAATGAAAAGAGGTCGACGATAGAGGGCGTGTATGCCAAGTCATGAAATCTTTGCTTCAGTTTTATTGGGGGAAACTTGAAAGAGAGAAAGAGACAAAGAGACATTATTATAAGATTTCTCTGTTTGTTTTTTGTTTTTTCAACCAGGGGCGGATCCAGCCGGCGGCATGAGGGGGGGGGGGCCAAATCTTGAGAAAATATTAAGCTGTGAATCAGCAAGCCGGTGAACGGCGAATAAGCTGTGGGGGGGGGGGGGGGGTAAGAGCACATACAAATTTTGTGTTGGTCTAGTTTTAAGCGGGGGAGGGGGTGCTGGAGAGGAGGACCGCTAATTATATATTTTTTTGGGGGGGGGGGGCAACATTTAAAAAAAAAAAAAATTGGGGGGCAGGGGGGCCCGCTTTTGTTTTTTGTTTTAAAAATGTAAAAATTTAAGTTACTTTCATTATTTTTTTACCGTTTTGGGGGGCTAGGGGGCCGGGCCGGTAGAATCGGCCCATGGATCAGCGCCTGTTTTCAACCACTATAATTATGCTTATTCAGTCTTGAAGAGCTTCCTCGTTATTTCCCGACCTATTTAGAGGTTTGCGTCCATAAAGATATTCCCATTGGACAGTGATATAGAATGAGTTTTGAGCAGTAAGGGGAGTATAATTAGGCCTAAGTGTTATCAATTTTTTGAATAAATTTCTCAACCACAGTTGGGGCAACAGTTTCGAGCCCATGCTTTCCCTTTCCTTAATTAGTCTCAAACAGGGGGTTGAGGCTTTTCCATCATGACATTCTCCCATTTTATGTTATATGGATTGTTTTATTAAACTCATTTTGATGGGAAAAACGGCGATTCTATAAAGCAACGCGTCGAACCGAAACGAAAAACATTGTTCCACCTCGGATCCTTTTGTATTGGTAACAGTGGCGACAAAAGAATAAGGCTCAGCTTTATTCACCCGGAAAAGCTCTCCAATGTGAAGGGCGCGTGAAGTGCACTGCCCCCATTATCAACGCTAGAACTCTGGTCTCACATGATGAGCTTGTGAACACTGCAGGAGCATCTTGGTGTTCTTGATTCATGTATTTGTTTGTGATGTTCAGTATGGATTATGGCGGATGAAACATATACAACGCCGGAATGATAAAATGCTGAAAATCAGGTGAGACAATTTAGAATTTATTAGTCTTGATCTGAAAGTATTTTTTTCAGGAGGTGAAATCGGTTTGTAAGTGAGTGATAAGAAGAGCGCTAAAACCAGATATCGTGAAAATAATCGTGTTTGGTAATTCCACCCCCCCCCCCTTGTTTTTTTTAATAATTTGTAACTGTCTTTGTTTGATTGATTTTTTTGGCCTTGGTTGCTATTTTCGGCCTGTATCAGTGGGCTTCATTCTGTATCAAACGATTTAAACAACGTATTTGACTAAAACACTTTTATCAAAACGCATAATTGATTAATGTCACGTACAGAGTAACTCCTGAAATTTGAAATATTTTATATTGTTTGAAAAAAGGCTAGGAAAATATTTTGTTCACCGTAGCAAACGTGAAGGAACTGAAGTTGGATGGAAAATATAGTCCTAGACATTATAGATGGAGACAACAGAAATAGAAGATTTGTAATTTTGCCCAGCAAAACAAAAACGGGAATGGGATTCGAGCTAAAATGATAAAAATATGTTAGATTTATTAACGTCTTTCTTTTGAATGAACCACGTGAATCCTTATATTTCAGTCTCATGCAATGACGGTTAGTGTTAACGCATCAATAATCATTAAAATAAACTGGAAGTCTTGGTTATGAGTACAAAATAATGTAAGAATATATGACATTTTATCACGGTCTACATAAAACTAGGAAATGTTGTAAGAAGCGTTTAACATTGAAATTATCTCTGAAGCAGCTTTAAGAAGCTAATTAAACTGGGATGGGATGTGTTGTGACAACAGGTGATGGCGCAGACAACAACATAGCGGTGTAAAACTTACTATATTCAATAAAATGGTGATGTGCAAATAAAAAACATGCTCCGATATAGTTTACAGCATTCTGAAACCTTTATAAGAGGTTCCAACCATAGTGAGGACAGGAAGAGCGGCCTCCTGCATGGAAAGCAGGTTTAATATCTCTAGTTGGGAATGCATCGCCAAGAATATACAGCTACAAACCTTTAACCAGTAATGTTTCTCTACTTTAACACTGCTTTTAGTTTAATTATGAACAGTTTTATGAAAAGAGCAAAGATAAAAATGATCGCAAAAATAAAATAAAAATCGCAAGAAAAATCTACTACACGATGAGCTGGGTCGCGGGCAGGTAGGGGGTCTACATTAGTGCCTCCGTGTACTGCCTGTATACATGTCATTGGTATTTTTATATGTCGTTTACGAAGTAGGTCCTATGAGCTTTCAATGGCCTAAACAATACACCATGGATGGGCGGTTCGTGACTTAATACGATTGGTAATCTGCTTATAAGGAATCAAAAGGAAATCTATGGGTCTGGAAGAGACAAAAGGGTTGAGATGAGAGAGAAGGGGGCAAAAGGGGGATTATGGTAACTTAATTGTTGTAGTTTCCAAAAGGCGTAGAGACGGAGCTAAGTCATATACTGCAGACCATGGACTTTATCCAGTTGTTGTTTTCTTCATATAAGAAGCGGGATGAAAGAGAGCAGCCGCAGAGCAGAAGTTTTGCACGCATAGATTGGGTAGATGTTACTTGAAAATGTTTATTTTCTGATGCAAATTTATTCATGAAAATACATTTTGTTATGAATTTGATGAGAAACAAAATATTTTTTAGGTTTTATTATTACATCATTGATTAACTATGGCCCAAGCACATCATATGCCACTTTATAACATATTAAATATATTTCACAGTCATATTATTAACTATTTTATTTTTATTTATTACTTTGTAATTGTACGCTTTTTAAGGCATTCAATCAGATAAAGTACAAATTCAAAATAACCTTAACTTGGGAAATCATATCTCTTTAAACACATAATTCTATCAATATTTTATTTGGGGTAGTTTCCGGTAGTTCGCCTGACTTTTCGAAACTTTGCTGTCAAAGACGTTTACTAATTTTTAAAGGAAAAAAGAAGTCACGAGAACGCGTCAGAATTTGTGCATTCCGATGTCGTATATGGAGAAATTTCTGGAGGGAGGTATGATAGCCTAAAGTATCTGCCACGTATAAATTTGTTGAAATTGGAGAATTGAGTGAATATATCTCAGATCAATCCCATGTACACGTACAATTAAAATGTTATATGTATTATATCATAGAACTAAGGGCGAACATCTGTAAATTACTTTCTTCGTCTATATACGGAGCATCTTCTTGTATTTATATAATACACGGATAAAATTCGTATGTAACTGCCCTTCAACTGTATTACTTCTAAAAATGCATACTTATCCACCCTCCATATCCCTTTCTTTCCTTTCACATAATCGTGTTTATTTTTCTTTTCTTCATCCCATTGTTATCGTTCATCTTTACTTCATCTATTCCTGGCGCTGAGTGTTTTGTATTTCAAAATAGTCTTGGTTTCCATGATGATGGGTAAGTACAATAGAGTGTACAATTTCCTTAAAGCAGGATTTCAACAAACAGAGCCATAAAACCTATGACTGTACAATCCAAACTATTTTAAGTAGAGCTACTGGCGTAGATCCAGGGACAAAGGAGCATGTGCACCTGCCTAGGGGTGCCGCGAGAGAAATTAAAGAGGATTTAAGTCTATTTGGGGGTCCATTATAACATAAACATCAATTTCGTGAAAACTAAAAAGAAGAAACCGATATGCATCTTCATGAGGAGATAACAAAATTTTTAAAGACAACATAATTATGTAAGTGTCTTTTGTTCCACGATCAGTTTGCTTGCTCGCAAAATCAATAAACAGTATAATGATTACAGTCAGTGAAGTGCCAGAATATCGTTACATTCGCGAATAAAGGTGCCCGAATATAATATATCTTATATTTTGTTTAATGTCGAAATTACATTTTTAGCTCGTTGTTCGCTTTACTCGCTCAGAAAATTTTAAAATGGGATAATTCTGGACAACGAGATGCCTGAATATTCTTATATTCTTGAATTTTGTGTTCATATATTGGGCAGCGAGGTGCCTGCATACATAATATTATATTATATCTTATCTAGTGTGTTTTGTTATCAAAATAACATTTTTACCAAACTAAAACAAATATTTTTTGTTGCTCCCTCGCAAATTTTAGAAACAAATTGTGTCTGATTGGTGTACATGACACTTGATGTGCACGGTGACGCTAAACTTTTCTATTTCTCAAAAGAATGCTGTGACTATTGACAGGTTGAAAAACGCTTGCACTGCTCAGTTTCCATGGCATGTTTTCATCCATCACCTGCACTTCATAACCGAAAAGAACAACGGCTAATGAAAGATTAAGAAAATTACGCAACCGTAATGAAAATCAAGCGTATACACGAGAGGGGTTTGGCATTGTAATTACCCATCTGAACTGGACCCGTTAAATAGTAAGGCAACAACAACAACACAAATATATCCCGGTTCTATGACCTCTACACTAACCGTTTATCCTTCTTTCGTGCATGCAGGATGAGGAAGCCTACATAGTGTATATGGGCAATTCCACGGAAAAAGGTTCACTTGCTAAAAAAAATATACAATTTGCGATATCTTCAGAAATGTTTATATGACTTAGTATCAAACTATAATGAGCTCTTTGATTTGGGAAGTATACCCTGTCCAATGGAGGTGCTTTGAAATAATTAGGGAAGAGGGGGGGGCAAAATGTGGCAACAGTTTATATTATAGGTCAAAATATTCTGTCTTCCGTCGGGTCTCGGCTACATGCGGTTCAGATTTGGTAAATTTTATTATGATGAAGGGAACAAGGATTAACGGTACGTAAGAGCTTTTCATAGTTCCGTGAACATGTTAAAACCAGGAAGCTGCAATGAACCACGTTATCTTCAATAGCCACAAATAGGTCTGATCTTTGGGATAGGCTCCATAGCCCTTTGAAGATTACAAGTAGAAGAAGAAAAAGAAGAGTGTCATGTCCGTTAAGCTGGAGTTGACTGCGTCATGCATTCCGTGATGAATTTAAAGTGAGAGAGAAATAGAGAAAGAAAGAAAGAAAGAGAGAGAGAGAGAGAGAGAGCGAAAGAGGGGGGGGGGGCTAAATGTATCAATCTGAAATTTCCATTGAAGGGATGTCAACAGCAAATAAAGCGCAAGCGGCCCAATGTGCCCGTACCCTTTGGTCGAAATTATAGAAATTTGGTATCAAAAGATAGGAGCCGAGAGAACTCTGTCCCCAGTCCTCTTAGAAAAAACAAATTAAAAAACAGAGCCTCCCGGGCGTTCCGGATTGATATGCCCAGTGGTCAGGACTTTGTAAAGCCCTGCTCTAGGGGATAGGTGTCTGGGGGAGTAGTCTGGACACGGATTCTTTTTCACGATGTTCATTAATTATTCATTAAAAAAATTTAAAAAAATAACCAAATGCTACGCTCTTATGGCAAAATTTCATAAATGGAAAAAGTAATCATGAAATGGATCATGATCATAAATTTAGTTAACGCATTTCAGGATTATCGAAGAAGTTTTACAGCATTTTGTTATGCATTCATCAAACTAAAACGCAAGAATGCACAGACAACCTGAATGACACTGCAATGTTCTATGATGAGTACGAATGAAAGACTTTAATACCATGCAAAGTTATTATTCTCTGCTCTTCTTCGACTCCAGAAACTGCAAAATACTGCTGCCCTGTATTGTCATACTTTCTTCTCGTAGAACTCACATCACCCCCATTCTCAAATCTCTTCTCTGGCTCCCGGTATGTGACCGAATCATTTTTAAGTCGTTGTTACTGGTTTTCCATTCCTTGTATGACTCTGCTCCTTCATTCAATATGCAGTTGATTGTTAAGTATAAGCCTACAATACATCTTCGTTCATACAAATCTTCCTTATTAGTTGTTCCTACAAGACGCGCAGTCCCTGGGGGATAGAGCCTTAATTTTCTCATTTTGGTCCATCCCTTTGGATTCGTAATTTAACAGCCCTCCATGACGTCAAAGTTACTCTAAAAACCCATCTCTTTCTAAACAAAGCTGTTATTGTGGCTTAATACTTTGTGTTGTTTTAGTTTACCTGTACTTTAGTTAAGAAAGTGATAAGTTCGTGATTGTTATACAAAATGCACCATGAACGTCAGAGCCTGGCGGATACCGGCGCTATATAAATATCCATATTATTATTATTATTATTAAAGTTCCTCTGGTGTTAATGTTGAAGAAAGTATTTTCAAGCACCAGCAACGTATTGCGTAATCTTCCCTTTACTGCTCAGTCATCTGCTCGCGCTCAAAGGAAGATGCCCCGTAATTGCACGGATGAATGCCCCATTTCTTGATGAGTATTGACTTTATACGCCACAAGTTACGTTATAGGGATGGAAAATCGATGATGATATGGTCAATTATGGTTACTCTCCGAACAAGGGATATAGAGTAATATAAAGTTAGTGTTATGCTTAACAAACTACGTCGTGGATTTTTCGTAGCTTTTTCATTGACGATATTTTGCAAGTGTGACGGTTGTGTTTTTAACATGCGTCATGATTTCTAAACCGTGTTTACGTCATTTATAAATCTATTGTACATAGAATATTTGAACAATTCACATATATATTTCTAGTTTAGGATTTTAAAATAAACATGTATAATATACTCTTATCAAGAGATGTAGACCTGTACAACTGGGAAACATAAATTAGAGTAAATTACAGAGCGTAACATCACACAGGATACGAACTCTAAATCGGGTTGATTAAACCATCAATTCCAATTTAAACTAAAAAAATAATAATATTTCTTTCTGCATTGAGTCTGCATTGGATGTGGTGGTGCGTGTAGTTTGATTGGGTATGTGATAGCCTAACGAACAACAAGATGATATTAATAATTATGCTAGATTTTTTAATTTCTCTTTTAAGCAAACACACGAAATATATTAATGAAATACATCACTTTGGTTTCAAAGTTTTTTTTTTTTTTTTTTACATGACTAAACCCAGATCATGACTTACAGTCTAAAGTACTTGCAGTAGTTTGTTGAAGAACAGAGTGCCAATGAATAAAGAAAGGAAATGTACTGACATGCAATACGCCATCATAACTTTTTGACGAGGAAAAGAACAACTTTTCATTTCCGTGGTGCTCTGTGATAACAAATAAACAAGAAATAATACACTAATTCATTTCCGCTTCATGCTGTAATACTTTGACATCTTCGTTTTATAATGTTGATGAAAAATTCGCTCTTCTCGTATATTTAGGCAACCCATTAAAATTAAGTTCATAAAAATCAGTATCGTAATTAACACCGGTACTGGTACCCCTCGCCTCATAGCAAATGTGTATGACGCGGGCGTATTATTCTTTGTTTTTTTCAGACACAAACAAAGTGTTATGACATTCAATTAAGTAAAATAATATAGCGGCACAGTCTTATTCAAAAACAGATATCGATTATTATTTCACCGTGTTCGGACCACGTAGACTTTCTTCTATGCATTGAAGCCACTTACACCCTCCCCCTCCCCCTTTCCCAGCTATGTGTGACGTAACAATGCATGGCGCCTCATCAATACGAATCAACGTGCGGGTATAGGGAAGGTGCGATCTATAGAGGGATCCCAGCACACTAGTCTCATCCGATCAGTCTACACGGAGTTGTGATAAGCCTCTCACGGCTCAATGTGGTGACAAGAAAGTGTCACATATTAACTGGTATAAACACTGAGCTGACATATCTTTGGATTCTTCGTGCCTTTGATTCCGACTCCCTGGTTATACAGTGCCACTGGAAAGGGTTATCTACATCATACTTTTTAAACATTTTGGGCATACTTCTTATCCTTCCTTCGGAGTTGGCTCGTTGCCTATAGACAGGTACCTGAGGAATAGCGGAACGGCACCGGGTCCCGATAAGACGATCTTGAACAGTTGGCCCTGGAAAATTGGTCACCTCTGGAGTATCAATTTAAATAGGTTCAACACTGACCGCCTAAATATTTATGATTAATTTTCTGTAATGGATCACTATATCGGATACTTTATAAGATGATTGCAAGATCGAACAATTGGTCTTCTCGTCTAGAAATACTGAAATAAGTGACATATTGGAGCAACAATCTTCCTTTCTCTATTGGGGCAACAGGTAAGAAATCATCTATAAAATAAACGAATATTATACGATTGTATCCTTAGACAATAATTAAATAATATGCAGTGTTTTCATAAGAAAGAAGAGTGAAGAAAGTTTGTGACAACAGACATACACAATGTATGCATCCTGAATCAAGAAGAAAATAAGATTAACATTAAGAAAAATAAAAAATAATATTAATACGATAAGTTTATCAAGATATTGGTAAATACAAAATAGAATTCCCCTGAATTTGGTACACTGTATTATTTTTTCAAGATGGTGAACCGACATTATTTGCTCCAGCGGTAATAATAGTTCCAGGTTTTGTGTATTTCGTCGATAATTATATTATAGGGTTTGTGAGGGTTGCAATTGGGTTTTAGGTTTGGTTTGGGTAAGGATTGTTATGCATGGTTTAGGTCCAGGAAAGACTTCAGCAGGTAACATAGACAAGCGTACATCAGGTATCAGAAGGCACATGAATGTATATATTGAACTTGATGCACACGTTGAATTTCTGCAATTTTTGTAATATAAGCTGTCCAGTCCTCGCAGTCCATGTTATTTGAATACAGTTAATGCCCGCAAAAGTTAACCCATGTGCTTGCAATTGAAGTCGGAAAAATAATGCTAGTGGTGGGGTGCTCAAGACCTGCATGCAAACAAAATAATTTTGGGGGGTCGATCCCAAAATTAAGGGGCATGCGTCTCTTTTCGCCCCAGCATGGATCCGCCACTGGCTCATAATACACAATTATTTTTGCTCTAATGGACTTCATGTAAAATATTTAATCTTTGCCATAGATGAGCAACTTTCAATGGCATTATTCCGCCACATTAGAGACACTGGCTGATCATATATTTATCCGCTGTCAAATTTATCGCTTTTCATCCCCTGTACTCTGAGAAAGGCGCATGAGTTGTAATTTGAGTACATAACAATCAATAATTTAAAGGTACTATGTCCCTTTTGCAGCCAACCTCAAAGGCTGTAGAACTTTGCAGGAATTATGAATATGTCAAGTATGTCCTATCTCTGAAATTTAAACGTTAGCAGTGTCCTCATATTCAAATTATGCAAGGAAAAGCGTTTACTTGCTAGACTTCACTGTCAGATACTTTTGAGTGACTGACTGGCTTTTTTCTTCTTTGGTAATAACATACATGAAAAGAGTTGTAAAGGGTACATGAGTATTTGTCTACATCAATAACCCACTTTTTGTGATGGCCAAGATTAAACTGATTGAATCTTTGCGCAGCATAAAACGTATGACCATTCGGTACAATTGTCTGAAAATCAAGACTATTACTTTTAGGCTCTATAGCCCTAAAGTCGATTTTACAACTAATAGTCATTATTTTCCCACTAAGCTTTAAATCTTTCAACTCACCTGGTATACTGGCGTTATTAGCCTAGTTTATGAAAATGAGAATTTAGAAGAAGAAAACAAATTCCGTTTACCATCTGTTTCATAGTATGATATTCATTATTTGAAATCATCCCGTCTTCAATCGTCGGGCAGCAGAGTAGCGACGATACTTCAATTATAATAATCATCCTTCAAAATATTCTCAGCAGTTTCAACACTAAAATATTAGCAAGCAAATATTCAGTAAATAATTAGGCTAGGGAAGTGCTTTAATAACTGGACTACAATCCGTGTTTGAATAAGGTGATGGGAGTTTACTTTATCATAGCGCATCCGTGGAGCTTAAAAATCTATATCCAACAGCAAATAGCAAGACAGCTCACGAATATTTATTTTGGCGTCGAATTTCTATTTTTCAGGTAATTATGAGACAAGGGACAATATTATATCATGGCATCTGCCTTTGATGTAAAAAAAAAATAAGTAAACAGTAAAATACACAGCTGCTGGCATTATTTCCATGAAATGCCGTTCGAGTGCAAAATGTTTGAAAAATGTACGTCACCGTTGTTATCAATAACATTATGCCAAAATAGTTTGATCCATATTACATGTAATATTGACATAAATCAAATACTAAATACAATGATTACTCAGCTGCATGAATTTCATAAAATTTGCAATGAGAATTATAGGCCTGTAGTGATGCAAGTTTTTGTTTTCAATTTTATATGATAACAGATCTCTAGTATTCATCAAATTTTCATTCAATAAATGATTTTGACTATTGAAATGATTATAATAATAAGTCGCGTCCTTTCAGCTTCAACGCGAACCTGCTCCAAAATGTTCACACTAACAGGGCTTGTATCGATCACTCACTTCATCACGTTTCTTGTGTTTTTTGTTGTTGAAATGGCAATCAGTCAAGAACTGACTATTATCACCAACGACTTTCTTTTTAATATGAATTTCTTTCTTTCTCTTTTTTCTCTCTTTTTTAAATAAGAGTATAGAAAATAAATTTAAAATATAGGCTTCTCTCTTCCCCCTTAAAATTAAATGAAAAAGAAAAAAGAAAAAAGAAGAAAAAACGACAAAATGTAGATTTTTGTATCCTGTAGGTTACCGCGTAGTTTTTTAATTATCGTTGTTGTTGGTAATAATTTAATGGCGTTCATTCAGTATTGAATATTTACGCCATATCTTCAGTTTTATAAGAAAATCAGTTGTACATAAGAAAACTTTTTAATTATCGATTGAGTACTTTCTTATAACACGCTATTGATCTACGAAGTGTTTGGTTACGAGGCCCACCATTTCCGTTGCAATATCATATTGAACTGACGATAATTTTTTCTTTTCAATAACAAGCACTTATCATTTTTTGCAAAATGGTAAAAGATTAGGTTAAGTGCAAAAATAGACACATTGCGTACTCACAAAAACGTGAGTAGGCCCGTATTTGTGACACGAAGTGCCAACCCTACACTTCGTAGATTAGATGGCTTGTATCTACGAGAGTACTTAAAATATGATCACGTGATAACGTGAGTGATCGTAACAATAGGGACACTTATATACTGTATAGAAGAACATTACTTTTTTTTTAAATTTAGCTACAGACTCGCCGACATGTTCGTGTAGGATGTTGAATAGCATCATTAAATTATTTGATTGGCATGAGATCGATAAAGTTAGGCATAATGACGTGATGAAAATGGTTTCTGATCTATTGTCATCCAATTAAATGTACATGTAGTTATACCCAGTCATTTGCCTTCATCGCTTGCCTAGTTTAGAAAGTGCTCAGGCGAGAAAAAGTACACAATAATACTGAATTAGTTTCCTTTTTGTTCAGATGGTGTTTGGTTGTTGCCATGGTTACCACACAAACGGAGATTACGTCGGGACATGACAGGAAATAGGGATTTCGATAGACAAGAATAAAGAAGTTGCCCATCATCATAATTTTGGTTAAAATGTGCATGTGACACTAAAGTCATAATTTTTCAAGGTTAAAGGAAAGAAGAAAAAAATAGCTGATAATATACCTCACTTAAGATATCCAGCCATCTGATTGGTCGAAATTGCAGTCGTGATTTTAGCCATTCCCGTAAAGAAACGAAAAATGCCAAAACCATTTAATAGTCCAAGTGTATGATCCCGGCAAAATGCCAGTTATCGAGAAAATATTAAAATCTTGCTGCGATACCCACTGGTTTACGTGTTAAAATGTTCTTTGAGCGAGCACGGACATCATAGTTTACAGTGCTTTTTGTCTATGATTCCCAAGGCTGATCGAAAATTTCAGTCATTTTTCGGGCGGTGATAAACAGACAGTTTATCAGATTTCCCGTAATTTTTTAACCTATCTTTACTCGATAAAAAGTTAAGGTAAGAATTCTTGGTAGATTTTTGTTTGAATTCGGCATATAAAAGGGATATCGACTGCTTTAATACTCGAGGACTGGCTGTTTCTATACTGGCTCTCGGGAAATTTGCCTTGAGCGTATAAAAACAGTCAGTCCTCGCGTAGCAGTCGATATCTCTAGGACTTTTAGATTTGCACGTTGACAGCTTTGACTGCAACGTGTGACGTCATTTTAAGGCACTGCGCATGCGTCACGTCGTCTCAGTCGGCGATCGAGAATGCGTCAACCTTGATTTTCCTTAATCTAGTACGGTACTAGTATATGCCGCGTGCGCATAAAATATACAGTTCCTCAGGTAGACAAAGGAACATCCATTCCTGCTATTATGTAAAAATGTGTAGAACAGGTGTCACTTGCATATTCACCTGTTCTACACATTTTTACATAATAGCAGTGGAGGGATGTTCTACCATGTAGCAATATAGGCCATTTTCGTAATGTAACCGAATTTAATGCATAGGTCTTTGTGAAGTGCCTCAATGCAAACAGAATCCTAACTGCATACATTAGTTGTTGCCAGGTTGGACAAACATTATGGCTTGACCTACCTAGCAACACTTAATATATGCAGTTGCATTCTTACTATAGAACTACTATTATTCCTATCAGGTGAATGAAATAATTTGTATTGAGGCACTTCACAAAGACCTATGCATTAAATTCGGTTATATTACGAAAATGGCGTATTGTTGAGGGTAGAATGAGGAACTGTATATTTTGTCCTCTTTCTTTGTCTGTCATGTTCATAATGTTACTTCCTGCATACATGTATATCGTCGAGTGCAATCTAAAAGATTTCTAATTGCAGTCAACATGGGCAGTTCAGTACGTTGACACGCATGCTCAGTCGGCGTTCGTCGTGTTCTCGTCCACTCAATCTAAAAGTCCCTAATATTGAATAAGATTACGAGCTAATGTTTGTTGGGTTTCATTTTACTTTAACTATTGTTTGAGCAAGTGTGTGGCGCCAAGGGGGGGGGGGGGCGCAAGCGAATGTGTCACAAATTGAAGAAGAACATACGTGCCCCCAAAATCTTGAATATCCATGTGTGGCATTTGGTAATTAATCTTTCCCCTTTCTTGGATACGATAAATTCAAGCTCCAAGGTGTTTTTTTTTCGAAAGGTCGATTTGTACTCCTTGGTCGAGGACTCTCTCTCAGATTTTAACCATTAATCATGTTAATATTATTATCGCTACAAAGAGATTTTGTTGACGTGCACGTCTACTTTGGAAAAAAACATACCAATCACTTTATGACAATTATGATACACATCTCAATGAGAGGTGAAATAATGTGGATGTATAATAGGACATTCATGTCTAACGACGTGACCAATAATTGAATCTTCTTTGATATGGATTGGCTCATATCATTTCAGGCAAAATCAATACAGGCATGCCATAGTTTGTCATATCAAACGTTTTTTTGTTTGTTATGGATATCTTCTAGAGGAAAAATGGCCGAGACGGCTAGATCGATGCCTGCTTGATGAATCAATTATATCTAGTTGTTATTATTAACAGTTTCAGTAGAATTATTGGTATAGAAAAACTCACAAATTATATTACTCTTTTTCTAGGATTACTTTACACCCCGTTACGGACTTGAATGTCATGAATTGATTTATAATCAGGGAAGTTATCACCCGGAATAAGTTCTCTACGATGACAGCGTGAAAATAACCTTGATTTGATCCCCACCCATCCATTATAAACTCACAGATGTAATGAGCTCAGAGTCTTAATATTCCGAAACAACCAATTGTTCAGTCAGCTTGCATCATTATTCATGCACATAACAAATTCAAGGTCCAAAGAAAAGAAGAAAAGATGACCAGAAACCCCTTCTCCCTAAATGTACTTCCTATCCTCACAGACAGGACATCTACAGCAAGGTAGCCATCTGTATACCTTGGCCTCAAATTAAAAATTCACTCGCATAATAAATCTGGTGAGTTGGACACCCGTGTGAGCTATTTTAATTACCTTTTGATTAGAGGAACTTAGTGCATTTTGTAATGAGTAATACCAATAAGTGAGAAGAGTCGTCAAATTTCCAAGGCCATTTTACAAAAAGCTTACAGAGCTTTGATATATGGACTCGAGGTAAAACGAATGTGTAAAGAGGGGGAACCAAAGATGTTCATGATGATCCACAGCACATGAATGGCGCCATTTATCTGTTTCAAACCTAATCAAAGAGAGAGGGGGGAAGGGGAGGGAGGGAGGGAGATAGCAAGAGAGGGAGGATGGGGGAGAGAGGGGCTAAAGAGAAGAGAAGGGGAGGAGAGGAAGACAGGGGTTGATAAGAGAGAGAGAGAGAGAGAGAGAGAGGGGGGGGATAGAAAACTAGCAAACAAAACAAAGAGATGATAATGACAATGGATATCATAGTTTACGAACATACTTAGTATACTTGAAAGAGTGTCATGCATCTACAAAATGAAAAAGCATACACTATTCACAATGATTGAAAGGAATGACGATCCAATGAAAGCAAATCCTGCTAGTCACTTATTCTTTCCTCGATAGGTACACGTGACGCCTCGGTCTTCGCCTTTGTCTTTAATGTAAAGTAACTTCTTTAATGAAAATTTTATTAACCATCATGTCTACTGATTCACGACAAATATTATGTAATCATGTGACGCACAGATGGCCGTCACAGTATTTCATTTTATACTTTTGTTAAAGATATTATGTATAGTATCTTAATATTTGTGTAACTTGAAGAGTTATCAGCTTGACCGGAACAAAGAATGAAACATTTTCTAATGAGATGTAAAATCTTAATGTTCATTATTTCTGAATTATTATTCAAGAGGAGTGTTCCGGTTACATGCACCGGTCTTCTGCCTCGGATAATCACCCCGGGTTGAATATTACTCTGAGCTGCGTGTCATCGTTTTATACCCATCCGGTGAATGAGCAGGAACCTTCTTTATTAAACTCTGTGAAGCAAAGATGGGTTCAATCGATATTGATTAACGACAGCTTGATTAATTATTCACCCTTTCCCTGAAAATCTCTAGACATGTTGTTGGTATCGTGGAACGATGTATAATTTAATTCACGTCGCTTAGTACATTGAACTTCTTAATCTTAAAGACCGTCAATACTACTGGGCCAGAAGGGATTAGACCACACAGCGAGGTCACTGACAGGTGGCTATCTCATTAACTCAGCTCTCAACTAACATAAGAAAAAGAGGATCATGGGGGACCAACATGCACCGATTGAGAAGTTTTCTTTATAGAGGGAGCAAGTAGCTACAAGTAGGACAGTGGGGCTTTAAATACGAATGAAATTAACATCATGCTCAGATTGCCAAGCTACAATTATAATTATTATTACTATTTATTCGGGACAGACGAAGTCTAGAAATGAATGTGAATTTCATTTTTAAATGGGGGAAAGAAAGGGTATAGAAAGGGAGAGGGAGAAAGAGGGAGGGTCGAGAGATCGATAGAAGAGGGAGGGATACAAAACACTTGAGAAGAGAGCTGGACAGAGAGAGAGAGATAGAGAGAGAGAGAGTGGAAGAGAGAAAGTGAGAGCGAGAGAGCGAGAGAGAGAGAGAGAGAAGGTGAGAGCGAGAGAGAGCGAGAGAGAGCGAGAGAGAGAGCGAGAGAGATGGTGGGAGGAGAAAGAGGGTGTGTGTGTGTGTATTGGGTTTTTACAGACGTGTATCAATCAGATCTGATTATTTACGTCTGGGGACCGAAAGACGTGACTCAGTTTCGAACCTGCGTCCTCGGCTGAATCAGTTTGTAACTTCCACTTTTACAGGATTACAGGCGCACGCCACAACGCCTAGAGGGAGAAGGATGAAAAGATTATAATAGGGAGGGAGAGAGAGAGAGAGAGAGAGAGAAAGAGAGAGTAAAAACATACATGGTAAGATAGAGGGAAGGAGACGGGAGAATGACATAAGTGGGTAATAATAGGGACTTTTAGATTTGCGTGGACTGATACGTGTGACGTACATTCAAGGCAGTGCATTAAAAGGACGTCGACCGTAGCAATCCACATTGTCTTCGTGCGAATCTAAAAGTCCCTAATAACATGAGCTGGATAGAGATGGGGAAACCCGAGTCCCAAGGGTATCATTTCCTGTTCCATAATCACCATGTACTATTCTAATATACGGGTGTGATCTGATCAATACCCTTCATGACACCTGCTGGAGAGAACAGGTGAAAGGGAGGGGGGTGGCCGGGGGCACTGGCAAAGTCGAGCTGTTAGGTAGTTACATAAGCATGATAATTATTGTGCGAAAGATATGTTTTAAAGGTTATTGTGTTGTTGTTGTTATTGTTTTGTTGACGTTCTTTTCTTTCCTTTTTAAAAAAAATACTGACTAAAGCAGGCCAACTTGGGCACCCGAAAGGGGAAGTAAGACAGTCAGAAAGACGTGGGATAATTTTAAAGATATACATTTCCTAGCTAATGCTTCAGAATGAGTGCTGGGGGTTTGGAATGTTATATAATGATATAAAAGCAAGTGAACTTGACTGAAAGATGAATATACCCATCATTCCCATCGTAAAATAAATTGTGTAAGTTCATTGTGAACTGTGTCAGTTTCAATGTAAAAGTCATTAAATAATAATCTGTTGCAAATAAGGTAACCTTTATAGCAATCAACCGTGATTGTTTCCAACAAACTTGTCTATAACGTAGATTGGATGATCTAAAAGTGAAGATATTTTGGTTTATAATTAAGTTTCACAATGTCCATTCATTCATAGTGAGTGTTAAAACTCACCTTCGATTTCTAACCTTCAATTACAACGTTCAATTTCTACCCTTAGTGATGCCTAGGTCTCACTTTTGCCGCGGCGGCCGTGGGGTCTAAAATAATTATCTACGGATAATATCAATAATTATAGGGCCACCGCAGCATTCCCACGGTCACATACGGTAGCAGTCACATCATTTTATGTTAGGGTGGCCGCACGGTGTATTTTTGAATTTGTGGACACCGAAAACCTGCGGCTGCCGTACGGCCTTTGAAGTGATGACACACGATCGCATATAGGGCTTCCCTGCGGCGGCCGTACAGTTTTTAACAAATACGAAGGCAGGCGCAAGGTAGCCGCAATGCCACCGTGCGCCCGACGTTTGGTCGCCGTGGAACCGCTCTACGGCAGGGCTATGGTGTGTCTTATTGTCTAATTGCTACGGTGTACCTAGAAATGAAAAAGGTTATAACTCGCGCTATAATCCCACGGCGACCTGTGCGGTGACCCTGAGGCCACCGCAGGTATCTCTCGATTTTGGGGGCTTACGGCCACCGTATTATAGCTGTAGAGCAAATGTGACCTATAGGCATTGATTTATGTCAAAGTGTCGCTGTCCGCTGATATCAAAGAACAATACCAATTGATATTAACTGTCGGTTTTGCATAAAATGCATACCAGCATATTAATGTCTTACAAAGTACATTGCCATTCATGATTATCAGGCCTAGATTTATAGTGTTTACTAAAGCCAGGTGATATTTTTATAAAACACTTGACACTATGACACTATGACACTAAACGCTGAAATTAGGAAGAAATTAACGTCAAAAGGAATTAGAAATTGGACCTACATAGGCTACTGAAATGCAGTTTGGCTTTGAATTTTTTTGTGAGTCTATTTAGCGCCAGACGGGTGTTAACTCTGTGCTAAAGAATATGAGTTATTGCCCTTCTTGCTCTAAAAATACGTTCAATTATGACTGACTTATAAGTTATAGGTTAATTTTAATACAAGGTAAAATTCATTTAATTACTTATTCTTCGATATCCTATCGAACTCCATCCAATACTCCCATATTCCACTTTATTAGGATCATGATTATGGTGAAGGACTAGCCTTCAATATCTTATATTGTGTTGAGCATTTTCTATTATTATCTTTCAATAGACGTCATCGGTCTAACTCCATTACCAAGAAAGACATCTACTTCCTTCGCAATGGTAACTGAGTTGGAAGACATCACTATGGAGTCGACAATGACCATGGATAGCAATGACAACATGACCACGCCTTACTTCGACGATGAGTACGTCTACGATCAATCCGACGTCATCATCAACTTCGTCCTTGCGTCCATCATTGGATTCTGTGGTTTCTTTGGGATCATTGGTAACAGTCTCGTGGTCATCTCTTGGGCGATGTCGAAAAAACTTCAAAACATCACCAATATCTTTGTTATCAGGTAGGTTTCATTTTTTTTCTCTCGGCTAAATGCCTCACCACTCCAAAAATGCTTTATTTGATTAGATATGAGTTTATTTGATTCTTATTTCTTGGTTCTTTATCGCTTTTTGAATATTTTTCATTTTCATGCGACACTGTTTTAATGACTACAGAGTAATATACAACAGTAGTAAATAAAAAAAAATTAAGTAGGGCCTAACACTTAAACTTGAGTTCTGAAAATTATATTACATTTCTCAAGAAATTGCCTGATATTTTTCTGAATTGTTTATCATGCAGTACATAGGCTTTTTGAAATAGCAAGTTTTAAAAAAGCTTACAAAAACTACAAATTTTCTTGGAAAGCCCAACTCATGAGTCACCATATGAGATGGTGTGTATGCAGAAGGTTCATAATAACTAGCTCGATACATTTCCTACCAAAAATAGTTTGGCAGATGTCGTGAATTTGACTGATTTTTAAAAAAATATGATTGTTTTCAAACAGATTACCTTTATCTGCAAAAAATATCAAAGTTCGTGTATCAATGGTTCATACCTAGTCAAAAAGGAATTGTTCTCTTGCTTGCCATAGTTGTTAGATTGTCCTTATGAGATTTATTTTAAAAAAATAGATTTATACTTTAATTCGTTACAAGTTGTAGGCGATGGAAATGCAATTACCCTTTTATCACTTTGATTTCAGTTTGAGCATCACAGACTTCCTTGGTTGTTCGATGCTACCCATCCAAGTATACACCTTCGTAGACTTCGCCAACGGACCACCAGTGCCTGACTGGGTGTGTAGGATGTGCGGCGCCATCTGCCTCATAGCCTTCAAGTCCAGTGTCTGCCATCTAGCGCTTATAGGAATCAACCGGTACGTGGTCATCACGCGGTTCCGTGCGCAGTACCTACGACTCTACAGCGTCAGGAACGTCCTCTTCATGGTGATCTTTGCATGGACCTTTCCCACCCTGCTCATCATGTTGCCTCCCGCGGTGGGACTGGGACACTTAGGGTACAACGCTGGAAACCAACTCTGTGTGTTTGACGGAACGCCACTCCAGCTCAGGATCATCTATATCCTGGAGGAGATCCTCTTCGGGTTTTCTTTCATCATCATCGTTACCTGCTACTTCCGTATCTACGTCTACATAAGTCGACAGCATCGTGATCTCATCAAAATCTACAGCAAGCGTGAGCGCAGTTCTGGAGGGCTCAATATTCCCGATTGCATTACCGAGGTGACTGAGACTACAGACGTTGAACCTTCAACTTCTTCAAATGTTTATCTTGACGCCGGGACAAACTCGCCTTCGTCGCGAAAGAGTGTCACGTCAAAGATCTACACCATTAATGTTAAATCTCGATCGGAGAGCAAGAAGCGGCGACGAACCGCGTCGTCCCAGGAAATGCACAAAGTTCTGACGAAGCGCGAAATCGACATCACGAAAAATCTCTTCATGGTTGTCTGCTGTTTCTTCTTTTTGTGTTTCCGCACATTCTCTGTCTCACCACGGATAAATGCTATAACACTAACTTCAAGTACACAGCGACAATTCTAGTTATTAACTCTCTCACCAATCCTCTCATTTACTGCTTGAAGCATCCCACTTTTAGGGAGGTTTCCTCATGTCTGTTCCGTGGGGATCTCTCAGGGATACCAAAACCAGCGAGATGGCTCAAGCGTTTGCTGAACAAATGAGGTCTTTCTTTAGCTTTTGGCAGTCTCGCGTGTTATATTTGGCTTATTCACGTAAATCAGATGCAACCAGATTAAAGATGGTATATTGACCCATCTCCGTCACTTGGTGCAATGTGCGAGTTGATCTTGAATTCCAACTTTTCGGAAAACTGAAGTGGTGAGCATGGTGAATTAAGTAATGTTCTTACAGAAAGTAAGAGAGACTTAATCGCTGTGAGATGGAATCAAGATGACGTCTTTCGAATATACAATTAGAAAAGTTTGTTCATGATAAATATGATAATATCAACGACTATAGTTATATAGAAGAAACATTTTAACTCACTCACTGAGCAGTATATATCGATGACTGTGGATATCCATTGTAGCTGTGTGTCTGGTCGGTTTTGTTGCTATACTTGAGTGTTCTTCTCATTCTTGATGAAGGGTGTTCTTCTTATTCCACACAGCCAGCTGAATGCATACAGTCTTTATTAGACAATTATGGTTGAGAAATTGTTGTGTAAAGGTAAACGTCAAGATTTTTATTTTACTTATTCAGTTGGACCCGACCATTGGCTTAAAGGCAGTGGAACAAAAGGAAAACTCAGTCCTCAGATTAACTCTCTCGGTTAAACACGATTTGGAACAAACTAATAAACCCAGTGTCGGTTTTAAATAGTAATAGAATATGGCCGAAGTGTTTTTCTCGGCCGGATAAGTCTTATTTCTGTGATAGTTTGCCTATGGAAGATTCATTTTATCTATTCATTGTACATCGAGTATTATTATAGACATGATGTTCCACATAATAAATAAATAATTTGGATTTTTGACTTTTTAATTCGTATAATCATTTTGATAATGATAATAGTCGCAAAGTAGTAAAAACAGTATCAATGCCATTTTAATACATGATATTTAAAGCGCAGGAAAGCGCGGTAATGGCAATATAACTAGGAGTATTATGGAATATACAAAATGAGGAACACGGTATAGAGAAGTTGACATCAACTTTCAATAGAGATAGTTATGGATGATATTCTAAAATGATGAAATCACAAAGAAAATAATGTTGAACAAGTGTGTATACAATTTTCCGTTGGAGCTCTAAAAGCTGATTCCGACGAATATTTCCTGCATGTAAATGATGATCAGTTCCATGATGGTGCTTTTATTTTTGGTATGTGACAAATATAATAAATGACCATGGCTATCAAAGGCGATCAATTAAACACGCACACATTAAAGGGAGCTAGTGTAGCTTGACAAATGATGGTTAACGACATCTACGTCTACTTGTGGACAACTGCACGTAAACGAATGGACTTCATTATATTAACGGTAGTCGGCGACTTAATCTCTACATGGTCAGCGTTCGCGAAACAGACCGAATTTTTTCTCACGCTTCGGTTTCGCGTACGTTGCACGAACTTGATTGCTGCGGTCGCGTCGTCCGTAGTCGTATTAAACCCGACTGGCCCCCAAGTCACGCCACGGGAAAGACACGTAGTGCCGTCAGGCAACACTCCCTTTAAACACTATACAGACGTGTAACCTGCTGCTCAAGAGTAACCTGACGTTAACGTGTAACCTGATGCTAAAGCGTAACCTGTTGTTAAAGTGTAACCCGATGCTAAAGTGTAACCTGCTGTTAAAGTGTAACCCGATGCTGAAGTGTAGCCTGCTGTCAAGGTGTAACCTGACGTTAACGTGTGACATGCTGCTAAAGTGTAACCTGCTGCTAAGTACGTGTAACCTGATGCTAAAGTGTAACCTGCTGCTAAAGTGTGACCTGCTGCTAAAGTGTAAGCTGCCATTAAAGTGTAGCCTGCTGCTTAAGATTAGTGTAACCTGCTGCTAAAGTGTAAGCTGCCATTAAAGTGTAGCCTGCTGCTTAAGATTAGTGTAACCTGCTGCTAAAGTGTAACCTGCTGCTAAAGTGTAACCCGATGCTAAAGTGTAACCTGCCGTCAAATTGTAGCCTGACGTTAACGTGTAACCTGCTGCTTAAGATTAGTGTAGCCTGCTGTTAAAATGTAACCTGCTGCTAAACTGTAACATGCTGCTAAAGTGCAAGCTACCATTAAAGACTTAGTGTAGCCTGCTGTCAAAGTGTAATCTGACGTTAACGTGTAACCTGCTGCTAAAGATGAGTGCAACCTGCTGTTAAAGTGTAACCTGCTGCTAAAGTGTAACCTGCTGCTAAAGTGTAGCCTGCTGCGAAAGTGTAACCTGCTGCTAAAGTGTAGCCTGCTGTCAAAGTGTAACATGCTGCTAAAGTGTAACCTGCTGCTAAAGTGTAACCTGCTGCTAAAGTGTAACCTACCTGATACACAAAGATTCAATCAGTTTAATTTTGACCATCACAAGTAATGGGTTTAGATGTAGACAAATGCTCATGTACCTGTTACAGCTCATTTTATGTATGTTATTACCAAAGAAAAAAGATGTCAGTCAGTCACTCAATAGTGTCTGACAGTGCAGTTTAGAAGGTTTACCGGTTTCCTTGCATAATTTGAATACTAGGACATTGCTAATGTTTATATTTCACAAAATGACATACATGACATATTCATAATTCCTACAAATTTCTACAGAATTTGATGTTGGCTGCAGAAGGGACATAGTATCTTTAACAGACGTGAGTAATACATTGTGCATGAGGCCATGTACTTTCTTCACTGTAACCATGAACAGCTATCTGGAGAACATTCAGTATATCCAAAATATGTATATAATTATTTTGAAGTATATAAATGGGAAGAAAACTTGGGGAAATGGGGGGGGGGGGTATTATTATTTGCTGTATTCCATTGATTTGTTTAGTTGGTATTAAAGTATATTACTACGTAAGCTAACTTCAAATATGGACAATAAAAGCAATGCTTATATATACCATGTTATACTTGTTCGTTTATTTGTATCGATTGTGAATTAAATGCATGTAACTCTGATGTCGTAATTAAAGGAAACAAACTGTTGCTGCAGACAGTGCATCATGTTTGTCATCTTCATGTGATGACATGAACATTAGAGAGTAATGCCATGAAGGAAAGTATGATAATTGTGGAGTGACAATATTAGAGGGAAGCGAGAGAGAGAGAGAGAGAGAGAGAGAGATATACGTGAAAGTATATATATAAATACAATATGATAGAGAAAGAGAGAAAAAAAAAAGAGGGGGAAGAGGGAGAGGGGGGGGGGAGAGATAACGGATAGCGTAATAGGAATAGAGCTAGGGAGCGGTAAATAGAAGAAGAGGACAGAAAGAATAAGAGAATGACGGAGAGATATTTAACGATAAGTAGATAATACATAAAAATGGAGAAAGATGGAGAGAAAGAGAATGAAAAGAAAGAAAATTATTGGAACTAGAGAGAGAAAGAGAGAGAGAGAGAGGGAGAGAGGGATAGAGAAACATCCGAAGAAAAAATTATGTTGTATTAGAGTTTTTAAATTTATAAGCGTTTTTCCCCCTTCCTTTTAATCAACATTGTCTCTTTTTATTTTTCAATTCACTTTTGTTCTTTTTGTTATTTCACCCCCCTAACCTTGTTCAAGTTATGTTTGTGCAATAACTAGCGTGCATACATTCATGAAATCAAACAATGATTTGTAGATTAATACACATATGCAAACTTTACTACCAAAACCTGCATGTTTTATTCCATTTCGATATTGACCGATAACGCGTTGTTGTTGTTGTGTTTTTTCTCGGGGGGGGGGGGCTTTCTCCATGTAGATGGAAAACAAGGGGAAGTCCACCAAATCTGAAAACGAGCGACCACAAATTCCCAATAACCATTGGATTAATGATGTGTATCAACTGAGATTATATTCATTTCTGGGCTATATTCGCAAATATCCAGTCGCCAGCGTGCTTCGCAGGAAAGCAGTGTCATTAAGAACCGTTATACTCACCTTCAATAATTGATCATTTCTTTACGATACTCTCACGGCCCACAGTCCATTACTGCTAGCATTCCAATCAGAGCCGAGCATAGCCATTAAAAAATGTCCAGTTTATCTGCAGATTTCATCAATGATTCATCTTTATAATTACTTTTCCTCTGTTTTATGCATTATTATATCGCATCTGGGAATAACTGTTAAATTTCGTGTCTACCTTCCTCTGCTTCGCAGGTAAATATTTTTTTTTATTGATAATCAGTCTCCAACAAAGTGTGATTTAGATAATGTTATCATGACTGTATAATACATGTATATATATGTAATCAGAAAATGTATTTGATGTATCAAAATAATTGCTTATAGCTTCTTGGATCATGATCGAGAAGTCCAATCAAGGGCAGTTTCAATACCCTATAAATCTCTAGTTTAGTCACGTATCTAATAACACAGCTATGCCTTACGGCACAACCATCTTCCTTTTTGTGGTTGAGTGTACTTTCGTCATGAGTTTAATGATTGGTTTTTTCTTCTTTGTGATATGAAGAAAAACAAACTCTACGAGGTTGTCTATTTTTGCTGACTTTACTTCGTTCTGTTAATTTCCAATCGAGCTGGTTTATCGATATAACCCATCCTTATTACATTCGACTTTTTTAAAATCGAATAAATAAATAAAATATGTCAATTGTTGCTGGAATATTCTTTACATTCTTTAAGATGCATGGATGTTTATAATGTATATATAGTTTGATTCAAGCATATACCTGATCAGGGTAACATTATTAATCTGATAATTGCAACAAATACCTGCTAAATTGACCATCCCATTAATGCTCTCCTTATAATAAACACAATGTCTAAAACCTGGCATATCCAATGCTGGATCTAATGCATTGTAACTTTGATCTTGTGACACCATGGGGGTGTTTCACAAAGATCCTAAGTTGAAATTACCTCTAAGTTGGACTTAAAAATTATGGAAAGCCGTTGGCATCGTTGAAAATATTTTGTAAAAAGTTATTTCAAAAGGCATAAAATGATGAGTTTATGTTCTTGATGTGGAAGAGTATAAAATACTTGAATTTCTGCTTTTGAATGTATTTCATTTTAAGGCTACAAGTGGCTCTCCATAATTTTTAAGTCCAACTTAGAGTTAAGTTCTACTTAGGATCTTTGTGAAACAACCCCCATGTCACGCAATTGTTCTTGGTTGTGTTTGACGGTTTTAATCTTTTAAGTGAAAATAGTAGTTTAAAAGCTTGTGATTAGGCCTATGAACCCCAACAAAATCGATGTCAAGAGGCATGAGTCCTTATGTTTTATTTTAACCAATCACTCGATCTAGTGAAGATCATTGTTACAATGAATTCATTTACACATTTTAACCGGCAGTGACTTCAGCGATGGCATCACCTGTTACACCTCTACCCACAGCTACCGCGGTCAATATTACCGATCCCTATGACAACCGCGGCTTGGTGATCACCAACTCCATTCTGGCTTCGGTGATCTGCATAGTAACCATCGTCGGCGTGCTCGGTAACAGTTTCGTCATCCTTCTCTTCGCATTGTCTCGACAGCTGCAGACAGTGACGAATATCTTTGTGGTAAGTCTGACGCTTTCCGACCTGATCGGTTGCGCCACACTGAGTCTTGATGCGGTGGCGCTGTTCTCCCTTCGAGGATGGCCATTGCAGGATTGGGTTTGTAAAATGGTTGGAGCAGTCACTCTCATTGCCTTCAAGGCCAGCATTGTTCACCTGGCTCTGATCAGCATTAACCGACTATTCGTCATCACCCGCCCCAAGATTCAGTATCTACGTCTGTACCGGCACAGGAACGTCGTCCTGATGATTGGTGTTGCTTGGTTGGCCCCTCTCACAGCGATTGTCCTGCCGCCAACGCTAGGGTTCGGACGTCTGGGTTATAACAGCGACAACCACTTCTGCGTCTTTGATGGCACCAGATTGCAGCTCCGGATCATGTATGTCATCGAGGAGGTTCTCTTCGTCATCACCTTCTGCATCATCAGCTTTTGTTACCTGAAGATCTATATCTACGTGACCAGGCAGTACCGAAATATGATGCAGTTCTTTCTCCGGCGTTCCAACAAGGCTCCGGCTTCCAACAAGAAGAAAATGCTATCAAACATCGACAAACGCGAGATTGAAATCACCAAGAACCTCTTCGTGGTGGTCTGTGCGTACTTCATCTGTATCCTCCCTCACACCATCTGTCTCTTCACCGAGAAATGCTACCTGTATTACTTCAAGCATACAGCCGTCATCTACGCCATCAACTCTTGCATTAATCCTTACATCTACTGTTTCAAGCAACCGATCTTCAAGCAGGTATCCCTCTGCGTCGTCCGGTGTCGTTGGTCCGAGATCCCCAAGCCATCAGCGTGGTTACAGCGACTCTTAAGACGTACCAGAGAGAGGGGGTTAAGCTGTACCCCTACTCCAGACATCATCGCCACCCAAGTGGAGCAGGATATCAGCATTGTGGCAACAGTGCAACATACATCGGTACAAACTGGTGTGTGATTCTTAGTATGCATCAATATATTGCGCCAATAGATCCTATAATGAGAAAGGGGAGAATTTGGTTTAAATTATTGTGGCATTGTAGGAACTACCCCTTTTAACATAGTTTTGCAATTTCAAGGGGTTAACAATTATAATTGGCACAATACCATTACGTTTTGAAGGTGTAGTGCCTTGTATTAATTTTGTCTGCATTTGCTTACAATAATTGTAATCTCATAAAGTTTGTTAATGACATGTTGAAAACAAAAATGTTGTGGTCATTTAATAATTAAAATAAGAAGAAGAAGAAGAAGAAGAAGAAGAAGAAGAAGAAGAAGAAGAAGAATGATAATAACAATAATAATGATAGTAAAATTAATGATCATAATAATAATCTGGATTTGTGTTAGGATAAATAATAATAATACAAACATCATAAAAGTCATCACTTCTCCGATACGGAACCGCAAGACCTTCAACGATTCTTTAATTAAGTTTCAACTGGTTTGAATCAATCGCACATCTTTATAAGACGGGGCTCAGATGTTTCTTGTTCATATACAAACTAAAGAATTCATTGCTAAATATAATGATTGTAAATAAAAGTATTATCTTCATATTTGTGTTTATATCTTTCCGCTCTACCTCACCCATCACCATGAAATGATCACTGATCATTGTAAATATCATATTATCGTTTTCCTGACATAACTTGAAGTATTTTTCATCAAGTGCTTGATGATCATTTTCAGTGATACTTGTATATACAGCATTATACATACTATATACAAAAAACTGCTTTAAGTAAGTTTCTATCATTATGATTGTTAGAAGACCTTTTGCATTGGTTGTTATTGTTGGTTTATCAATTTTCAATCATTTCATATTAACATTGATAATGGTGCAGATAAAAAAAAACGATAAAGATAAGAATTCCACATGCCATTTTAGAATCTTAATGAAAATGACAAATTGATGACATTTTTTTTTTTTTAGACAGAGTAAAGCTTAAAGGGAAAGTCGAGTTCTGTTTTCAGACTGCAAATGCCTTCAAAGTCAATGGTTATTGCTCTTATTCTTTTATATGACATTTCTAGTGCCCTTTAAGAACCTAAAATTGCTATGAAGGTAATTTTAGACCACACAATGTGTGTGAAATTTAGCCAATTCGAGCATACCAATTCAGCTCCACTTAAAAAAAAAAACATGGTGACCGTTAATTAATAATTTAATTAAAAATAACAATACATGGGCCGGCTGGTTGTGCGTAATATAAGCAACACAAAAATGCCAACAAAAAAACACCAAATCGGCATTGGCTGAAATACGACGTATAAGGCCGTTATTTCGTTTTTTTCAACGGTTTTTCAAATTTTTCAAAGTATCTAATATTTGTGGTGGTACACAAGTATTAAAAATCGTTATATTTCAGCCGTCTCTGAACCTATTTTGATCAAACAAAGATGATTTTGTCATTTAAATATTATGTTCTTTCAAATTTGACACTCAGATTTTCATTATCTCACAAAAAAGTTATTTTGTGTAGCGCCTTCTGCAACAGAACTCATCTATCCTTTTAAATTGCATTTTAAAGCTAAAAATAGATAAAGAGTATTTAATCAATGTTAGTTTAGATTTAAACGAATATTCTATGCTATACATAGAAGACAGTATTAATGTGTTTACCATTTTATATTCTTATATCAAGGTTACTGAAGTCATGTCACACATTGTGTTGGGTTAGATCTCATTAATCTCATGGCTTTAAAGACGACCTTAACAATGTAAGCTCTCTAGGCTTCGGACTTGAGCGATCTTTCCGGTGTAAGAAAAGTGCTTCAATGAGGTCGGGATGTTGCAATAGTAGGATAGGCTGTACAATATTAGTAAAAATAATGAGGAGTTTATATTGTCAATTGTTATGAGATGTTTCATGATGTTGTATTATGTTAAATTATGTACATGTTAAATTATTATGCTGTAAACTAATACAAAATTTTCCATGGCAAAAGTGAAGGTTGTTCTGGTATATTTGGAAAGACTTATATATCATCATTTATAAATAACTCTTTCACATTCTATTTTCCTCTCTCTCTCTCTTTCTCTTTCTCTTTCTCTCTCTCTCTCTCTCTCTCTCTCTCGATGTATATCTCCCACTCTCTCTCTCTCTCTCTTTCCAATATGTAATTAATTATCACTATCATAATTAATGTTTTCATAATCAGGCACATGATCAATCAATCAATCATGCATTTGTGAGATTACATAAGACATATATAATGTCACTTCTAATACTCTATTAAACAAAAAGACAAAATCACGAAGCTTTTTCTGATTTCTTTATAATGGAATTAAATGTATTTATGTAGAACAATTCTTATTTGCAAATGAATTTGTATACAATTCAATATTAACACAGCTATGAAGCAATACAACAAAATGTCAAAATGTACACTATTTCAAGAGTAATATATGTATGACCCATTACATAGAATCTCTTAAAAGACATGCGGACATAACATTATGGAGAAAAAAAGAATAATAAACAATATTTGGCCATAATAATAATTGAATACAAGGTTATCACAACATCCTCAACCAAAATCTACAACTCGATATAAGTGAACTACATTACATTTTAAATAGAACTTTTTTTCTCTCAAAAGCTGCCAAATGTTCATTTCAATCATCTAAAAACTAAATTGATTTTTTTCTCTTATGAATTAAGAGAAATGAATAGTTTTGATGCATTGTCACTAGTATTAATCAAGATGAATTAGTATGTATATTTTTCTAAATGTTACAAGATACTTGTAATGAATTTTTGAAAACACCCCCCCCCCCCTCCCCTCCAAAGAAATTAGACTAAATTAAATTTTCATGGAATAAAAACAAAATCATGGTTTACTCTGAAGAACATTTAACAATAGCTTATACAAATTACATTTGTTGCTAGAAATCTGTTTCGTACACTGCAACTCGTCTTTAGAAGCCAGAAATACTCTAATACAGAATTAACGCGCTTCTGGCTCCAAACAGAGGATTTTAAAGTGTCATGGTAGTGGCAGAAGAAATCTTCATTACATAGAAAGAATGAAAGAAAGACATGAAATGACATTTTCAGTAACTGTACGTTAAAATGTTTTTTTTCAAATAACCCAATAAGTGGTAAATGTAGCTGAATATTTTGTTTTGAGGTCCCTCTACTCCTGCTTAACATTTGTTATAGCTGTTTAAAAGGACAATAAAATCTTTCACTCCATCAACATAAAATACATTCCAGTTTTACTGCTGATAAAGCCACATAATACCAATATACAATCTAAGAGAAAGAGTTGATCTTTAAAAGAGCATCTCTTCTTGTTGGTAAGGGAAATAACCCAAATATTATTAAAAATATTTCTAAATACTAATATTTGATATTCATATAGCACACATATCCATCATGCAAGGTGCTCAAATATTACCCCATCTCTAGCTAGTCTACCGATAGCATTGCTCACATGATTCAAGGAATTCCTTCCTACCGGTACCCATTCAACACATGGGTGGAGAGTGGCAAATGTAGATTAATGTCTAGCTAAATGACTCTAGTGCTGCACCAGGACTCAGACCCATAACCTTTGTATCCCAGTCAAGAGTTTAAACCGCTCCACTACGATGCTACTCTCTGAAAAATAATTTGATGACGAGACACCTTGCTTTTAGTATGTACCACAAAAACAAAACATGTAAGCTCCAGCTCAAACTCTTTTTTTTCTTCTCCCCTATGGATTATCACAATATTGAATGTTGGGTTCTTGAGTACATCTGAAGACTGAGCTAGATCATAGATGAATGTCTGAATGATAACATTTCTAAAAAGGACCAATCGCTGAAACAATAACAAAGGATCAAACTTGAACACATAAATATAAAAAAAAAGGATCAAACTTGAATGTTGGAAACTAACTAATGAACCAGACATTAAAACAAAGGTGACAGTATGTAGTACAGGCTCTGTGTATAAAAATAGGTGGGGAGACAAATATTGCTGGAATTTAAGAAAGCAGGTTACCCTGTGTGGCGGTAATTGTAAGAGTTGTATAATTGAACTGCAGTGAAATACAATAAAGATACGTGTTTAGAACAGAATGCTACCTCTTGTATGTTGTTCATTTCAGTATTTTCTTCCAGACAAGAGATAGGCAAGAGAGGGAGAAGGGGAAGGAGACAAGATGAGACGAGAGGAGAGCTGAGGAGAAGAGAGGAGTGGAGAGGAGAGGAGAGCTGAGGAGAAGAGAGGCAAGAAGAGGAGAGGAGAGGAGAGGAGAAGAGAGGCAAGAAGAGGAGAGAAGAGGAGAGAAGAGGAGATGGAGGAAGAGTAGATGAAGGAAGAGGAGAAGAATGAAAGAGAGAAAGAAAAGCAGAGAGATGGGTGGATAAAATGGAAACTATTCATCACATCCATGCAGGGGTACTGGATTACATTTTCTTTCATTTCCATAAAGATTAATGATTGCATCATCAAAATGTATAATAGGGGTACTCCAAATAAATTGAATGATTGCTTTTATATTTTGCAGCTTCCTTAAATAACCATCTCATTCATAGCAAACACCAAATTTTTGTGGATCCAATCAGTTAAGTCCATATGCTTACAAAGCAATGGGGGGAGCGATTCGGTAATAATACTCAAGAAGATGCCTACATACCAATGACAGTCAACTATTCACATTTAACCCTATAGTTGATATGGCAGTGTTGTAAAACATCACAGCCCAATATATGTACAATGTGTTTGCATATCTAGAAACAAGCATGCACTGCATTGTCATACCATATTAAAGCCACAAATAAGAGCATTAACTTTGCATGTAAAATGATCTGGGATAACTCCTCCCTGACTCGATCTACACAGACAATATGAAAGTCAAAAGGGTCTACAATATGCCCTGCTGCCATGATCAATGAAAGCTAGTGAAATCTTAAAATACAATCAAGTGAATTTGTTGTAAATCCTGTGGCATTCATTCATTATTGGTAACAATTTATAAGATACAAGACCCAGATCTGAAGTCATCTGGAGAGGAACCCTCTATTTGTGGAAAAATAGTAAGTTCCCATAGGTATTCAAACTGTACATAAATTCACAGCATGCCGACACCAGCATGCAGACATATATTGAGGTCTTCACAGTATTCTTGCTTTCTTTCTTTCGAAAGAAATATAAGAAATTACCTATATCAAACTGTACATTGATAAATATAATCACACTGTGTTTGAAAAATAAAGGACAATTAACAGACAAGTTTAGCAATCAAATGTCAGCTTGAATCACTGCATTATATTTTTCTGTACAAGTGTAGAATTGCATTCCATCTATGTACAGAGAAGTACTTTCAACCCAGCCCTGACAAATAGGGTTAAATGAATAAAAGAAAATTGCACTTAAAGGAAAGAACTAAATAAACATGATTTTTCCCATTCATGCCTTTGCATTAAAATCTAGAAGCCTTTGATAAAACGATATGAATTTCAGACATATATATTTTTTGTACAGCAATCATATTGCTCTGAGGTGATTTACACAAGAAAGCAAATAAAACCAATGTAAAACTGTAAACTCTTCGAATCTGATAACATAAAATAATACTCTATCTGCTTTGTAATTGAAAAGTGCATATTAAGAGATTTGATTTTGCCTTTAAGATTTGACATCCAAAACATAGAGTTAAAAAGATATAACATCAACGAATAGTTGTACAAAGAATAAAGCAAAGACATAATGAAGCTTTAATGGTTGCATACCAAACCGTAAGTGGGGTGAATGAATATATAATCTGGAACCTAACAATTTGAATAAAAACAATAAAAAGCATATGTGCACACAAAAATGATGAGCTCCGATGTAACTTCCACTAATAATAGAATACCAGCCTCAGAACCAGACTCTAGCTAGAATGACATTCATGACCTAACAAACTCTTTTAAACAATCTTCATAGATTTAAGTCTGTGAACTAAAAGCATATTACAAAACTGATCATCAAAGCTTCAGTATGTCTTTGTTTAAAACACATCTATCCATTTCTTCCACAATTTCTTCCACAAACGACAGTGTCATCATTCAGCAGCCTATTTGAATAAATCTCTTCCATGATTTTTTTTTACCAAACTCATCAAGATTTAATCACTTGCAGGAGCTTCAATGAACATTGTCTGCAAAAGTCTGCAACGCTGTCTCAGCTGGCAGGATAAAGCCTGCCAATGACATTATTCTAACAATAGAGGGCATAGTACAACTTGGTGAGAAGAATGCATTGAGTGAACACAAAAAGGAAGCTTACTGAGGGTTGAAAGGTCAATAAACGGGCCAGCTAGTCCAGGCCATTGGTATAGTTTGTGTCTTATAAGTTAACAAACATGAATATGAACATTAAAAGCATAATTTTGCTTGATATTTGGCCAGATCAAAGGTACCAACAGGCTTTACACATATCAAGTACATGTATACTCAACTCTTTAATGTTGTAAGAATTGGATGATAGTAAAGTCAAATTTTTACAGTGGGGAGAATCTAGCATGTAAATCCACAGCAGAATGAAATCAGCTACTTAGGGGGAAAATTACCTTGGACAAACTAAAACATATTCAAAATGTCACACAAAACTTCCACCCAAGTACCCCAAAATCTTGCTGTAATGTGCTTGTTTGTTTTGATATGGCAATTTTGGGTGTGTAGCATTACCGATAAAATACACTGGCCTGAAGAAAAAGTTGTGATTAACTTGGTGTAAAATACACTAAGATCTCCTACAACTTGAAAGAAAGTGAATGAATACATAGATGTATAGGAAAACATTACAGAATCAAACTCCTTAACTGTTAAGAAAGTGTAGGCATTAAAGGTTAAGCAACTTGCAAGGTTTGGCAAAACTTATGTACACAATTATTTCTTCTTGAAAATCTTAGCAACACTATTCAAACTTGAATGTTAATGTTTATACAATATCATCATGGTTAAAAAGACATGTTTTCATTATTATCTGTCAATTTCTGTTTAGATTTCAAACACTCTTGAATAATCTTCATAAAATTCATTCATTTTTTTGCAAGTTCAACACTATTTACATTTGCGATTCTCTATATCTCATCTTAAGATTATTTATGCTATCAAAAGAAAATGCATGTAGTTTTCAAAAACTACCAAGCATCTTGATAATAATTTCTTTTCGTCACTCATTGTAGAAAATGCATGGAATGAAGATAAACTAGTAAGCCATTTATAATCATTCCTCATGTTGGTCAATCATGTCTTAGAAGCTTTAAAGCATAAACTCTGATGAAAAAAAATAATTATATTCTCAAAAATCCTTCAGCCAAGGTTGCTATATAGCATCATAAGAACCATGGGTTTATCTGTGAAGCTTTCTAAACTGTGTATGAAGCAATTATTAACAGGAGGGTGTTTCACAAGACTAAGATCGACTTTAAGTTGGACTTAACTATGGCAGGCCATTCATGCCACTGGCTGCTCTCACCATTATGATCTTCAGATAATAATTTTTCCTTCAATAATGATGAATTATCAAAAAATGTAAATTCTGTAGATTTGTAACCATGATTTGAACATCACTTGAGAGACCAATGCCAGTAAATGGTGAGAGAAAACAGTGGCATGAACAGCCTGCCATAGTTAAGTCCAACTTAGAGTCAATCTTAATCTTTGTGAAACACCCCCCAGGGGGAATAACATTGAGGGTATCCAGAATTACAAAGTCAAGGTTTAGTATGATATAAATCGTGATAGTGTTTCATGGTCCTTTGTTCATCAAAGGGAATGTTTGCATTATATATGTATATATGTATAGGTATATTTCACTGAAGAGGGCTCATCTGATAGGTGACATCACTTGGAAATCACTTCTTTCTTCATCTAAGTGGAAGAATTGTCTTGTTTTGGTAAGCTGATTACCGTTTTTGCTGTACTTCATCGGCAACAGCACCAGGTACAACAAAGGTCTGAAGAATCTCGCCGCATAGTAAGTGAGAGCTTATCAAAACAGGTAATACTTCCACTGATTGTGAAGAAAGAAGCAACTTTCAATGGGCATATTTGGATTGGTAGTTTTGTTGAGCATTGTCAGAAAATTGATACTTTTTATAAGTGGAAATTACCTCCCCCCCCCCCCCCCCCCCCCCCCCCCCCCAAAAAAAGATATACTATCAAAAAGTTGTATCAAACAAGGATTATCACAAAGGATTTAATTGAAGTCATTCATAAGGTTTGCTTAACATCTCAACAGACGATATAGCCGATGTGTGCTCAAGGAAGGCTCCCAATCAAATCTAACCTGGCCTTCCAAAACAGATATATTGACTGCCTAAAAGCTGATGGGGTATCAATACATAATGACTTTGAAGTATCAGATTGCATGAGGTTACATAACAAGTTCCCAGGCGGTGAGCTAAATTTTTGTCTCTCCATGGCCCCTGTACATCTACCGGTAATGAAGTTTGGCAGCTTACTAAAATTACATTCCCCAACTAAAGGTTTACCAACACAAGAGGGCGCCATCATTTCTTCTTGTCATCTTTCTTTGGTCCATTTCCAGCTTGTGGCTGTAAAAGCAACAAATAGAAGTTTACATCATGTAACTGTAAAAAGTTCAACCACTTCAACCAAAAAGCTTATATTTATCTTGACATGGAATAATGACTTGTAACATTAGATATGAAATGATGGTTTCATCAAGTAGAAATATTGAGAAATAAACTGAAAACATGTCTAACAAAAATACTTCAGGTCTAACATTTGTGATTTTTTTTCTCTTTCATTAAATAAATAAACTTGTCTGTGGTGTGTGAATGTAAGTTTTGTTTGACCCAGGTGACCCATTTCATATTTGTACCAACTTGAAATAGGAAGAAAGGGAATTTCCCTTTTGGATTGCATGCTTTATCTAGCCCTTTTCCCAATTTTTCTGGGCATCCTCCCGGACATATGTTACTTCTGATACAGCGGGATTGGGAAGACTTGTTTGTAAAAAAGTCTCTGATTGATAAATCCCACAGGGTGTATTGCCTATAAGTTGTTATTCAAATAATTCAAACATGCCATGCAGCAGCATGAAAGTTTTCAAGTGTGCTGATTGTTATGAAGAGAGTCCATGCAGTTGAGCCTTAAAAATAATTTTACATATTTTACATATATTTGAATACATGTACACCTGAGAGCCATATAACAATAAATTTACATGCTTCTGGCTCTTAAATGACAATGTTACCTTTTCCAGGACAGCATTTAGTTTTAGAGCTAAATTAAATTGATCACAATATTTTTCTTTTAATGCTACAGTGTCAAAATAAATCATATTGTCTCTGAAAACAATATACATGGATGAGAATGTTATTGTAAAGTTTTTTTTAAATTGCCAATTATGATTGAAAAATAATGGAATTCAGAGCTCACATTGTGTAGCCGATTTAAGGATGAGAGCTGTTTTAGTTTTAACATTTCCTGGCAATATAGTCATGAAACAAAAATGGATACAGGGTGTGCAAATTTTGCCCTTTCTGCTCATATATCTTGAATATTTCTTAGGGCTCTGAATCAAATGTGATCATGATTGAGCCAAACCACAAAATGAAGAATGATTGTCCTGAGGGAGATAAAGAAAGATTTCAAAATTTGAGGGATTTGTGCAGCTGCAGTGAAACTAGGAAACACTAATCAGGCATGTCAACCCTGTTAAAATTGTGCATGTTTTATTTTACAACGTATTGCAAGGCACGGTGATGTTCACATAAGACATTGCTGATTAGCTATCACATAGGTAACAATATTCATTAAACATGCTAATTATGTGCACACACGGATTTAGTGACCAGTTTCAAAGGAGCGGAAAATGAACACCAAACTAACAATCGCGTACATATTTATAATTTTGCGTGGTTATTTTTGTGTTTCTCAGGTGGTGAATGAACATTTACCACTATATATTCCTATAGAATTTTCTAGTCGCAATTTAAATGTCCACACATGATGTTGCGCAGATGTAATTTTGTCTAATCTGAATGGGGTCTAGCTAGCTTACCTGAAGGATAGAGAATGAACAGGTGAGATCTTGAGTGACAATCATTACCCCTGCAGCATTGTCAAACTCTCCACAGTAGTTGGGCGCACTGAACAGTGTGACGAGCTTCCTCTTCTGGAAAAACTGGTATCCATCCTCTACCACCTGTAGTTTAGAATTAGAAGAGAGGGGGTAAGAGGGGGAGAGACGGGTGAGAGGAAAGAGAGGAGGAGGAGAGAGGGAGAGATGGGGGAGAGAGGGGAGAGAGTGAGAGAGGGGAGAGAGGGGAGAGAGGGGAGAGAGGGGAGAGGAGATGGGGGAGAGAGAGAGAGAGGGGGGAGGGGAAAGAGAGGGGGATGGAGGGTGGGAGGAAAAGAAGTGAGGGAGACAAAAAGAGTGAGAAAAGGGAAGACAGGGTGACAGATACAGTACAAAGAAAGAGAAGAAAAGAGAAGAAAAGAAAAGAAGAGAGAGAAAGAAAGATAAAGAGAGAGGTTGTGATTAATAAGAAATGGGGATGAATGTAGAGCATATGAGATGGGAACAAAGATTTGAAGTGAGAGACAGAGAGAGAGAGAGACAGAGAGAGACAGACAGGAGTACAATACAAAATTAAAAATAGAGAGAGGTGGGGGGAGAGAGACAGACAGGAGTACAATAAAAAAATAAAAAAATAGAGAGGAGAGAGAGGTGGAGAGAGAGAGAGAGAGAGAGAGAGCGCGGGAGGGGAGACATTGTTGGTTTAATCACGAGGGTAGTGTTTATCTTGCTCTGATTTGATATTCCCAGGGCTCACTTACACTCCCTGACTGTTCTCTCCTATTCATAAATTAGATATACAGTCACAATGTTCAACCCATCTCTACAAGAAGATGGCAGATTGGGAAAACTATTAGGTTACAACTGAATTTGGTTTCAGAGTTTGTCTTAATTACATTAAGCATGTGTTTACAGTGTATATCAGACTGTTCGATTTGTGCCAATTCCACAAATGGCACATACAAAATTCCTTATGAGTTCTCTAATTTGTCGGATTGGATTATTGTGGCATTATTGAATCTCAGGATATTCAGAATGTCAAAGAAAGAGAGTGAGTATCCAGGCAACTTCAGTGACACATATTTTGCTCTACTTAGATAAATTTATTGAGAATGCTGATTTTGTGCAATCATCAATCAACCTTAATGGAGATTATAAAACAATGCCTTTTTATGGAAAATATGTTTCTAGGTATCAACAACCGATGAATTATCCTTTTCCATTTGATTAGCATGTAACATTAACAACATGAATTGAAATTTGCCACTTTATATAGCAGGTTCTAATCAACTTTTTTGTTAACACATTGAAATTTAGTCCATAATTTGATGGCAAGCAGGATGATATGCGTGATGATAGTATGAATCTCCTTTAAAATTTCTCCTGTTGTTGAAATGATATCTACATGTAAAATGTATGTCAATACATGTCCAACACTAGCACAAATAGAATTGTTGTTATCGTTATGGAAAATTAACCTATTCATATACAAACCATGAATCTATTTTTTAAAATCTTACATGACTGTGTCACATTGTCAATAGGTTTGAATACATGGATACATCTAATTGAAAATGAACTTTTTTCTTCAACATCACTCATCAAATAATCAAATTTAAAATCAAAACAAAGTATTTTGTTGGTGATGCTAACCTGATGTGCTCTGACAATGAGACTGAGTTCATTCTTCTTGAGGAAATGCCTGACCACATCACCACCAAACGTATAGGATACTCCTCGATCATTCTCTCCCCAACCTGTGATGTCCTGTTAAGATACAAAACAAAAAAGAAACTTGATTCGATTTCTCAATACATCTGCTAAGTGCAAGAAGGCCAAGCTTTAACTGTCTTATCAATTAATGCCTTCTGGCTCTTAAGACGATTTAATTTGTTTGTTTTTGCACCCAGTATACACAGTACACCAAGGGCCTAATGAGACCAATCTTTGAAAGAATTGTATGGAAGGTAACACATAGAAGATAAATCGCATTTGTGATAATTTTCTTTATGACTTACATGTACTGTTCTGATGTTGCCTCAATTTCGTTTTGAATGTTTTATGATCAGTAAGAAATTTGTTACTTGATATTTAAGTCTTTTCATTTATTTTTCATATTTTATTCTCAATTGCCACTTGCCTCCAAATCTTGTAGTAGACTTATAAGATATTGCTACAGGCCTTTGGACAGGAATGTTTCCCATTTCTAGATTTGATTGACTAATCTACATTCCAATTCAGTTGTCAATAAGTTTCAGCCAGAGTGTCAGAATTGAATGTGAACCATGGCATGAAATATAAGCTCAACACACATGTAAGGAGGAAGTCTAGCTGCAAAAAAACAAAAGGAACATATAAGGAATCACACAATCACAGCTGGTGCCACTGGCAGCTCATCAATGAATCAAATCATTCTTTGATGTGATATTGGATACATTGCATAACGGTGATTATCGATGATGACAACCATGATGATGGTGATGACTGATGAGGATGTTGATGATGGTGATGATGAAGATATTGCTGATGATTCATGATGCTAATAATGACAATTAAATTGATGATATTAAAGAACGTTGTGATTATGATCATGACTATGATTAGGTCGAGAGTGATGAGACTTTGGACAAATGCTTAGAACATATTCACATCTACTTTAGAGAGCACACTGTGATTTAGATTTGAAATAGGTTAAATAGATTCATTTTAAAATTGAGACAACTTATCAGCAATGAAAGGCCTCAGAAGGATTGTTGTGATGACTTAATACCAATGGTCTAGGAATAAGTAAACCAATTGTTCTTTAAACCAAAATGGCTTTGTTAGTGTCCTTAGGTGAAAGCCTCATTTCTCAACAACTTATGCAAACAAGTGATCTCTTTGAAGAGAATGAAACTATTAACAATGACAGTTAGGATTATCCTGATGATAGTATTGAATGAATACGGTGATGATCTTGACAAGTCAATTTGGAAGCATCCTCATGAGTTCACATCTACTGCAGAAAGCAAATTTGGATTTAGATTCCAAAATGGTTTTTCATTGAAACATGTACTAATGAAATGGGTCCCTGGATGTGTCTTTTCATGCAACTTCATTTCACTAAACTACCATAGTAGAATATTTGAACAGTAAGAGGTCACTGACCTTTAAGCATCTTGGTTTCTCAGTTTACAAGGCGAAATATATGAGAAATGGCAATATAGGACTATCCCATCTAACCTTAAGACAACTCTATACAATCTCCTTTGAAGGAGGAGAAGGATGGGCAACTAGAAATCTCCACTCACTTTGGTTATTCACATGTGTATAGAAAGCACACCATTAGCCTTGTTCACATGACAAGATAACCAACCACCACAATACATAAACAACAACTAAAAGGCTATACACAGCAAAATGTAACTATTTGCTCATAGTGCTCATTCACATTCCTAAGTCCTTCTAACACAAATAAATATTTAGGATTGAGGGCCTATGATGAACACAAAGCTACATGCTTACATGTGAAATGGTTTACGTTTTTGTTCAGGACAGTTTACCACAACATGTATGAACAAGGTTTCAAGAGGAGGTATATGGTCTCTTCGAAACATCAATACTTGTCAAATTGGGAACATCTTGAAGGAGAAATTTCCTGTTAATGAGTGGGAGATTGGTACTGAAGGATTCACGCTCGACTTAAACTCGTCACTCGACAAAAGAATTTGAAGATGACTATAAGCCTTAGGGGAATTACCCCCCCCCCCTTGTTTTCCCCTCCCTCCTCTCTCTCTCTCTCTCTCTCCCTTTCTCTGTGAACACACATACTCTTAATTATAGCATTTGGATGTCATAAGACTGCTTTCTCATCTGTTGTAAATGTAATCAATTTCTGTCATGGCTGTATTTTGAAACAAAAACAAAAATCAAATTTCATAATGGAAGAATACCTGCTTGTATAGAGGTTTAAAGGCATTTTCATTTAATTGCTGAAATTTATGATTTAACCATATATTCATGATATAAATTTGATTTTTTTTTTCCCCCTACGTTCCCTGCATCCAGTCCAATACTTAAAATACATTGATATACAATAACTAATTCTGCCATTATCATAACTTAGAATAGATGAACAATAGTTCAGGGTTTGACAAGACCAAGCAGTCACCCAAAATGTTGAATAAAAGGTTTAAACAGAATACGTCAGAACTGAATAAATAACGTATGACAACATGTTTTCTCATTCAGACTTCACTTCATTGACGTCTGCTCTCTAAAATTAGGTTGACATTCTCAAAGTGGACATGCATCTGAACAACCTATGTGCTGTTTATAGTTCTGAGTGCCAAATATATCGCATGGATTCTGTCACGGTTATCTAAACTAAATAACCATTACAGCAGCCACTTAAGGCATGTTGTCATCAGCTCGAGATTGCCAAATAACCTGCTATTTTAACTATCCCGATTGCAGAATATCTAGCTAATTTGCGTCTTCATCAGCCCGCAGTTGCAATTAGCGGGATATTTGGTTGAGATGATCATTCAAGGATATCTTGGGCAAGTTTGTAAAATATCCTGCTATTTGGCAAAATATCCCGCTATTTGTCCGGTGCGTCTTCACCAGCCCAAAGACTCCACTATGCACACTATGCTGAGCAAAATATCTTGAGCTCGGGTTTCGAGGTTGATCCTCAAGCTGATGAAGACGCGATTTTTAACTTCAAGCTTATTTCCCAAATCAGAGATAGCAGGCTATTTGGCAATCTCAAGCTGATGAAGACATACCTATAGCCTCCCCTTTTGTGTGCCCCTAACATGATGTGATAAGCAGACATACTACATGTCAACGACTGATGAGATTTGGTCTGTCTTCGGCTCACCACATGCACCACAGGGGTGACCATAACTCACAAGCATAGCGTGCTTCAGGAATGATGAGGGAATGATGCAGTGCGACACGTTGTAGAAATGAAACCATCCTTTTTGTTTCCTTGGTTAATGTTTACGAGCTATTGTTTAATTCGGTCTGTGGTGAAGGTTGAATGTCCGAGGACACTTCACATGTGGTTCATGGTTAGAAGTCGAATCTGATCTAGCTGCAAGAAGCCTTACCACTAGAGTTGAACTGATCTTGCTTTTTCTATTCAGGGGTATGTAAAGGGATCGAGGATACACTACTAGAATAACTGCTTGTATTCCCCTTCCTCATGGGTGATGGATTTCACTGAATATGCTACTGACAAGCAATAATCAATCATATTTTTTAAGAGGAAGGCAGAAAAAGAAATTTTGTCATTTTGAATGCTATACTTAGGTGGGGCTAACCATTTACCCACCCCTCCCAGGTAGATAAGGAAAAACTTGGATAGTTATAATGCATTAATTGGCAAGTGATATGCATTGATAATTTGGTTGTACGCAAGTTTGTTCTGCATGTTTTGTCATGTGCCAAGAGAGTTTGGCATATAAAGGATTGAGAAGATTTAACTGATTTAGATACGCTGAAGAAATAATAGCAAAACTGACAAGGAAGTGGCCATTACAAGATCAACCACTCTCCCGGCCCCTCCCAGCTAGGCAAGCTGATAAAAAGCTGGATAAGCCACAGCGTAATCAAATAAATAACAGGCATTCCCTGGCATTCCATTGTCATGTCCCATCCCTGAGGTGATGTACACAAATACCCGGCATACTCCAAATGTCACTGCGTGGCAAACAGGTATCCCGTTTCCACACGGAACGCAGCGTTAACAGATCCGTCATTCAGCAGCGCCTCATCACGACCGCGTTAAACAATTTACACAGTATTTTCCAGCCTGCCACTGTTGACGTATGGAAATAGAGTTACCCAGAATAAAGGAGGTGGGTTGAAAGAGGGGGAACGGAGATTGTATCAACCGATTACAAACAGTAAGCCTCTACCCACAACAGAATCAATATTAAACTATACATAATAAATTGCAAGGGAATTAGAATTCAGGTGGCATTTAAATCGTTGCAATCGTTGCTCAAATTTGAGCAGTGGATTATGATTAATCTACCCACCTACTTGAATTCCTTTACTGCTTTCCTTACTATATTATTATGTCATTATGCTAAGGTAAAGATAAGGATTTTAAAGAGTCTGCTGAGAGCCAGAAGGGCATTATCTTTAATGTCATGGATAATTATATTGGCTACGCCCTTGTGGCTCTCAGCAGTCGATTTTATGCAGTTTCATACCACACATTTAATAGAGAAAGATTGGTACTCAGCTCCGGGTTATTCTTAATCTGATTTTGTCAGAATTCTGAAGGCACTCAGTGCATTCAGTTGATTCCTTCCTACCAGGTACCCACTTATACCACCTGGGTACAAAGAGGCAAATGCAGAATAATGTCTTCACAGGGACCATAGTGCAGCAGCACGGTCTTTGATCTATAGGCCAATGACTTGCATCTGATTTGCCCACACAACACCTCTAGTCAGGTGAATTACACACCAAATGATTGAAATCCAATAAAGGAAAATGCACTCTAGGATAAATAGAAAGGGATAATCTACAATGACCTTTTGCATATCACAGGATGGTAGATAAGTCAAGCAGGTTGGATAGGATGGAGAGAGGTATGATGTCTTCCTTCTATCACGATGAAATGAATGATGCAGGTCGACCAGCCTTTAATTTACCCGGAGGCACACACCAGCTCTCCATCATTCTTCATCTTTGAGTAAACCCGACAGACGGCCAGCCGAGTATTACTCAAACTCGGCAGATATCCCATCTCCATCTTAGAAGTGAAGCTTTGTTTGAGCTCGAATCATGCACTTTACCCGTCTCCCGTGGTCTCCCGTGGTCTCCCGTGGGTGGATGGGGGGATCGTGTTTCTAAGATGAGGACAGGTGAACTGTTTTGCCCGATGGCTATTTCAACAGAAATATGATAAGCTTCCATTTTGGAGTCCTATAGTCTGCTCAATGCTTCATGTCTATCCTTGCTCTAATGCACGTAGCTAACCTGTAGATATCTAGGCAGAGCGTTTTATTCTATGAAACACAAGTAACCCATATCACAAATGCTGCTTAGGATGTTACCTTAACTTTTTGATTACATATTGTTTGTGTAGATTCAGAAGGATGACTTAATCACTGTTACTTAGAATTTGCAACAACAAACAACCCTGAAAATATGCTGAAGCACAATTTGACATTTGATTAAACAGCTAAAGACGATGTTGTGGGAGAAATAAGAAAAACACACCAACAATGCACAGCTGAGCACAATTTCATTTGTGTGTTGTAAGTAAAAACATTTATACCATTTTGTCTTGACCAAAATTCCTCAAAAGATATCTTACCTAATGGGCCTTCGAGGCAGGCGTAACATAAATTGTATTTTTTGTAACGATAGTCAAATGAGTTGTGACAGGAAAACTATATCACTATTTTTTTCCCCTTTTTTTTTCTTCTTCTTCTTTTGTTGGGGGGGGGGGGGAGAGAAGGGTCACAAATGCCTAACAAAAACCTGACAACTTATGTTTCGTGTCACAGTTCAAACCATAGTCCCTTAGTGACTTCAAGACTGCAAATCAAGTTTGATCATATACATACAATGTACCTTGGGTAATAATGTGAACAATGCCACTCAAAGCAATCAATATTGTGCACTGTATGTTACTAATATAATGGAGTTCCCTCTATTCCAGTCTCTCTCTCTCTCTCTCTCTCTCTCCCTCTCTCTGTCTCTTTCTCTCTCTATATATATATATATCTACACTTTCTCTAGATATATACCTACGCTCGGGTGACATTGGAACCATGCATGTTGCTATGGTGATTATATTTATGTGCTTTGCACTGTTCTACTGAAGGTCTACCACCTCATTAGTGAATTTAAAAGGTAAGACATTATCATTTCAAGGATTGTCATCCTCGTTATCTTTATTCAGTGGGCTTTTAGTGCTAATGAGCTTTGGACTATATAAATCCAGATTTATTATTTTTATTTTGATCAGATTACTTTAGTATATTCTGCCTTCAAGAGATTACATGTAATGTGTTTGTTCATGAGAGGAAGATAGATGACTGATTTCTTTAGGATTGACAATTTGATAAAGCTTTTCTCTTGTCATATTTCAGCAATTAATAGGATAACAAAGATTTTTTTCTAAGAATGAAAAAGTAAAAGAAAACAAACATCTACTGAACAATTCTGGATTGACATCTTACTTCTCTTACTTACTCACTTAATCTAATCTAATCCTAATCCTAATCTAATCTTATCAAGAATGTAGATCAATGTTCCTACCTCATCAGGATCAGCCCATAAGAGATCACACACCAGTCCATGATCAGGGATATCCAGAGGTCTGCTGATATGTCTTAGCTGATCCACTTGGTTTAAGTCAGGTGACAGTCCCCCGTGCATACAGAAGATTGTACCTTCAACTACAGCGGCTGCAAAGCAAAACCAAGAAAAAAGGGGGATTAATTCATACTTTGGGTATGAAGACAAGCAATTCCAAAATATATCGAGTATATACAGTTAACAACTAAATTATTCATACCCTTACCAAATTTGTAATTTTTCAAGCCTGTGAAAATTTGATTTGTCCAGATTTATGTTTCTTGAGAATGTGACATATTAAAGCTTACATCTGAAAGTATTTAGGAAAGGCCCTAATTCAACATGTCCACCTTTCATTTTTGAGTACACAAAGATCATCAAATTTACAAGGGGTATGAATAATTTATTTGCTAAATGTAAGTATCATGAACACTGATAAAAAATGATTTATAAACTGACTTGATATACACTGTACATGTGTATTTTTCCTGTGTCGTTCCACTGTCTCATTTCAATTGGTTGCTCCTAAAGAGACTTTAAGAATATACTACGTTCATATCTCATGAAGATACACAAATATATTCCTAAAATACCATCTCACAAGATGGCTGCAATACTTCCATTTGGGGGAGGAGCAATTACCTGATATTCTCTACTCATGTGGTTCTAAAATTTAAAAAAAATTACTACCCTTTCGTTTATTTTTTGAGTCGGACAGATTTTGTTGAAAAGTCACCCCCTATTTTTGTATCAATATGATTTTTTTTTTTTTTTTTTTTTATTTTAGTTTTTTTTATATAGCGCTTAATACAAATGTCTCTAAGCGCTTTACAAATATATACTATTACCCCGGTCATTGGATTCAGTGCTTGCCCGCACACACTGTGTGCACAATCTCCACTCCCTGGGTAGCATTCCAGCCGGGCGTTACTTGACGCTCACAAGCTGTTTGACCAACAATGACGGTCGCATCCTACCGGGTACCCATTTAACACCTGGGTGTTCAAGTGTAAATGAAAATACTTTAAGTAAAACAAATTATTGGGAACCAAACAAAATACTGCTGAATAATAGAAGCCTGTAGAAAATGTGAATGTGTGCAATGATTCTTTATTTTTTTAACTCTTTGCCAGGAACTGAGTTTATGGATTACCAAATTTGATAATGAATAATGTAGAATGTTTATTGCATTTGAAAGGCTGAGTAGGTTGTACATGTAGCAACACCTTTAGGTTTGGCAGACACTATAACGAGAGTCAAGGTCGGCTCAATTATCGATTCGATCAGTGACCCATCTCCCCCTACTGATAGCATGGGTCTGTTTTCATTACCAAACAATCAAATCAGATTGTTTCATGTTATGAAGTAATTATATAAACTTTCACACACACAAAAACAATAGCACATATCTGTTTAAAAGGCATAGTATGGTTGTACATTAAGCAAAGCCTTCAGGTAAAACAGACAATGTAGAACAGCCAAGGTCAACTATATTATCAAGTTGATTAATGACGCAACCTCCCCCTACTGATGGTATGGGTCTGTTTTCTTGATTGTTTCATGTTGTGATGTAATTATTTAAACTTTCACACACACAAATATACAATAGCACCTATCTGTTTGACAGGCAAAGTATGGTTGTACATCAAATGAAGCCTTCAGATATGACACACACTGTAGAACAGCCAAGGTTGGCTCAATCATCCAGTTGATTAGTGATGCAACCTCCCCCCACGGATGGTATGGGGCTATTCTCATTACCAAGCCATCAAATCTGATTGATCAAAGTAGGTTGTTCTCATGGCCTTAATCTTTAATCACTCTGTCTGGCTGACAAGGTCAACTTTTAAATTGTGTTAAGATGACTAAATCAGTCAGAACTAGGCTTCACAGCTACATTGAATCACAAAATCAAAGTTAACATAATAAAATGTAGACAATATTTGTAAAGGGAAATCTAACATTAACTGCTTTCCTCTCTTAAAAATGAACCAACAAAAATTTCTCTGATGTTGTTCATGGTATGTATATTCTTAAGAGCTCTGAATAACAGACACAATCAAGTTTTAAATTGAATTCTATTACATGCGGGCAAAGTCAGTTTAGGCCCTGACCTTTCCCAAATCAAACATTAGAGTTACATTAGAGTTACGACTTAGATGTTGAACATAGATGAATGTAAAACCTTTACGTTTATTTAGTATTGCGTGGGTATGTCAGCACATGTACAAATACAACCATTGTCAATAGCTTTTAACTTCTTGCTCCAATGCTGACATGCTCATTCTGTTATACGGCTGACTGGGACCACTTATCGGGTACGTAATTACAATAAGAGGGATGTCTCTATCATGCCGGTATATGCTCATTATTGTTCTATTAACCCTTATGAAGCCGCCAAGATGACATACATATTTCACAAGGAAGATTTCATGACGCAGGATATTAATGGTAGTTGTTGTTGTTTTTTCAATCTTGATGCAAAACAGTGCTCCATGGTATTGGTATTGAAAAAAAATACAATTCACAAGCCTACTTTCAATTACAACAACTCAAAAAAAAAATTAACGCACATACATGTCCGATGATTGAATTTAGGTGGTTAGAAAAAGCACATGGATCTGAAAAGATCAGGGGTGATAGTAAGCACTAAAAAAAAATAGGTTTTTTGTTTTCCCCTCAACCCTCAACGCCCCCCTTGAGTAAAAAAAAAAAGAAGAGGATTCGCGGGGAAAAAATGGCATCTATAACAACATTCCCCCCTTTCGAGTAAGAAAATTGTGGAAAAAATAGGGCAAAAAAGGGAAGAATAGAGAAAATAAGGGGGAAATCGGGAAAATCAAGATAAAATAGGGAAGAAGAAAAAAAAATTTTTTTTTTTTTTAATCGGGAAAAAATCAAAAAAATCGGGAAACCGTTTTAAATCAGGTTTTTATCAGGCCTGAAAGATTGAGCTATCAGTGCCAATACTATTGTCTAATTGAGATAAGCAGTAGACAAAGAGGTTGTAGAAACAATCATTTCATGATAGCTATCAAATGCATTTTAACAATCACACTATTTATGTCAAATAGTCTACTTGACAACTGATACTGAATCCCTCATATCATTTAATAACTACATGTACCTGGAATACTATTAACTGCAGTTCTCTCCAAGTGATTAATGGATCTATAAACATGTTTCCCTTCATCAAGCCATAACTTTAATACAATCACATACAGAGTATTATTGGAGACAAAGAGTAGACTATTATGTCATTTATTGTCCATTCCTCTATCGAGTGTAATAAATATGTCAAAACATTAATGTACAGGATTGATTGTTCTCAAGCATGCTAATAGAATTATTATACATGGAATGGTTTATTGAGATTATAAAATCAATCATAAAATAAAAGGTCCAAACTGTATGATAATGTACCAACATACCCAAAAAAATTATGTTGCAATAAAGCTTGCACATTTATCTCTTTTTGAGTGTGTGTATTTTGTGGTTGATCCTTGCTTTTTGATAAATCAAGTTTTTGCTTTAATATGTTCCAAGAATAGGCATTTATTACAAAGCTTTCTGGTTTTAAAGCCATCAGATAACAAATTTAAATGGGAGGAATAATTCTGTCCTATAACTTGTTGAATTTTGAATTCTTTCATTCCCATGGGCTCAAATGGGTTCAGGAGTAAATGGGTCCATAGATTATATTTATATCATTAATTAAATATAAATAAACTCTAGTAGTTAATCAAAAGATGCCAAGGAGCTTTTTAAATCTCAGTCATCTCCGACAAAAGTATGAGTGTATTATTACTGCATGTAGATACTTAGTAACAACTTTGATGACGTATGGTGATTTAAAAAAAAAAATGTTATTATTCTTTCGTTTCATTTTTGCTTTTTGTTATTATAACAAACATTATCCATCTTGTTTTTAGGTCAAGCATGGATAGTATCCATAGGCAGGTCTAGAGGTATGCCTACAATGTACATGTACATGTATGTAATTTTCTAGAAATGTATATGTATAACAAGCGTCAAACTCAGTTTTATGAAGTGCACAGCTGGTAACACAATTCTTATTGAAATACATATTAAGAATGATGTCTTATCCAAGCTTTATTTCAAAGGCTTTTCTAGCTGCTCAATAACACAGACAGTACATACAAGACATTGTTTGTAAGGGTCACACTCTTACATGAATAGCGCTAATGCATCTGCCCCCCCCCCCCTCCCAACCCTGGAATAGGAGGCATTATACAAAGTTAAAAGCAAGCAAAACACCATATTTATTTCTTCTGTGACTTGAAAGATGTAGGCCTTCTGCATTGTTAAAATCCATTAACAAGATATTGGATCACAAGAAATATCAATTTTCTTTCCCTACTAATTCAAGGCATGCATGCTTTAAGTTGAATCCTTTCCACCCACACACAGAGATGTATTACTAAAAGCTAATATTCAGCAAGGGAATAGCAGAATTACTTCAAATGGATGAAAGCCTTTTAGAGGGTAGCAATAACTCTTTGCATTCAAAAGGCCCTTGGGTCCCATTACTATCACCGTTCACACTTATACACGCTCTACATTATAAAGCTATAGGGCAACTTGTAACTTGATCGGGTTAGTGTGAAATATCACTGAATGAAACTTTGAATCATCTTAGAACATTAAAAATGTAAAATGTTGCACCGTACTACTTCGGTGAGGATCATTTTTCATGTGGGGCTTTGAGCAGGAGGCAAGGGTGATGTGCAGGGGGGGGGGGGATCAAGAATAGGAGACAGCAAGAAGAAAATGAAAGGCAAATATAAAATAAAGAGCAATAGACAGGTAGAGAGACCCCCTCCCCCCCCCCCCCTCAAAAAAAAGAGGGAGAGAGAGAGATGGAGATGGAATTAAAAGCTGTAATGTGTAATGTACATACATGTATTCACAAATGACACAATATGAGAATGTCTGAAATTCTTTACATAGTAAAAAGCATTTCTGTAGATATTTTAGTCACGAGTGTGTAATCTATTCTTGAATCTTTTTTTTTTTTTTTTTTCTATTCTTGAATCTTTTATGTAAGGTACTAAAATGCAATGGAGAAATCCCTTTAGATACGCTATGT